GCCTGGAAATCTGCCTTGAGGCCAGATCTAGGGTGACCTAACTATAAAAGGGAATTAGGGGAAAACTGCAAGACTGATAATAGATTTTCCACATTCCATCTCCACCCAGCCATGACACTTCGAAGTCCTGAGTGCTCCCCTGAGCCTTGGGCAGTGCTGTCCTGGACAAACCCTGGCAGTCAGCTTTGACTGTTCCCTCAGGGGAGTCCAGTCTCAAGTGCCGGGACATTCCAGAAGCTTCAACCTCTGAGTGGGTTTTGTAAGTAGGGAGAATTGTGTGTAGGTAGGTAGGAATTGTGTGTATCCTCGCCTCTGCAGGCCTCTTGCCTAGAAAAGGAAGAGCAGTGGGCTTGGGGTTAGCAGACACGTCACACACTGGTGCAGGTCCCTGAGGAGCAAGGTGCTACCCCCTGGCTACTGTGGTATGTAGTGTTCGCTGCCGGCTTTGGTGATGGCTGATACAGAGAGCCACCAGGATGTGACATGCGCTCGGTTCTGAAGAGATTTGGGTAGGTCTGAGTTGAGTGGAGGGGCTGAGTTGAGGGTGTACTTCAGAAGGGGGCGATTAGGCCAGCTGCAGGGGGTGCTGGGGTAGGGGAGGATGTTCACAGCTTGAGGTCACCTGGTTCCTCTTATTTACACGGAAGAATAGCCTACCCTAGGGCTCAACAGTGCGGGATGCCTGGACTCCGGAAGGAAGGCTCGATGACACAGCCTTTCAGACCTCTTGAAGGGCAGTGCATGCTCTGTCAGCTGCCCGTTTTCTCTCTAGTGAGAGGTTAAGGATTGGGAACCTACCTCTAGGCTGTGTCCAAGGCCATGTCGCCATTCCCATCAGGGATACAGTGAATCTGGTGGTACCTGGGATGTGAGCTTTGAGATCTGTGCTGATTAGATGTTTGCTCTGTGGCTGCATCTCTGGCCACCGTTTGTCAGGCTATGGCGGTGGAGGGCAGCTAGCGTTCCTGCTTCTGGCCACTCTGCCTGGCTGGGCGCCCTCAGAAGCCACTTGTATCCTTCTGCATAGTAACAGGCCAGAAGAAGACAGCTCAATTGGAGCTGCAGGGTGGAGGATGGCAATGATCAAATACCATACAGAGCTTTCGGTGCCTGGAACGCATACAGGGAGCACTCTGTTTTTCTTTACAATTTTTAAATTTTTTTTATGGTTTTTCAAGATAGGGTCTCTGTATAGCCTTGGTTGGTCTAAAGATCTGCCTGCCTTTGCCTCCCAAGTGCTGGGATTAAAGGTATTCGCCACCAACACCCAGCTACAAATTTATTTTCTTAAGGCAGTAGGCTGCCCAGGCTAGTCTCCAGCTCCTACTCAAGAGTACTTTCTGCTGGGCAGTTGCAGCACTCAGGAGGCAGAGGCAGGCGGATCTCTGAGCTCCAGCCAGGGCTATACAGAGAAACTCTGTCTCAAAAAACAAACAAGCAGACCAAGCGTACTTGCTGCCTCGGCCTCCTAAGTTCTGGGACTATAGTGTGCACCATTTATATTAATTCTCATATTACAGTAATTAGAGACTAGATTATTGCTTCTTTCTTCAACTAGGTAAACTGGGCAGAGAGAGGCTGATTAACTCGCTCAAGTCTCAGTTTCAGATTCAGAGTTCTCAGTTCTCCACATCCCCAGGGATGTGAATCATGGGGGCTGATCGACCTCAGGGGGAAAGGAGCAGAGAGAATGGCCATAGACTCATTTGTTTTTCAGGACTAGGGACAACCCAGGGCCTGGTGGGTGCCAGATGTGTCCTCTGCCACTGAGTCAGACCTGCACCTTCCCTTCTTGTGGACCCCTCTCCTAGCAGCTAGAGGGAGCCAGGGCAGCTAATGATATGAAAGGAGAAGCTGAGGTTTCAGTGCTAGGACCCTATGGTGGGGCTTCCCCCAAGAACCATCCTGGCAGATGTCCACAAAACACCAGAGAAACCATGCTCCAAGGCCCTTACTGGGCTGACTGGGGAGCCTGTCCCTCCAGGAGCACATCTCATTAGGCAAGGCCATTGTGCTGGCATCTTACCTGTTGTCCATTCTGCTCTCCCTGACATAACTCGTCTAGAGTGTGGGAGACAGGAAGCTGCTGCTGAGCGGTGCAGGCCCACTGCCAGCTCTGGCCCTTAAGTGTGGTGCAAGCAAATCCAGTCATCTCCTCATTGTATTTTCTGCTGGCCTGGGTACCCCCATTCCCTCCATGACCAGCTTTAAAAAAAAAAAAAAAAAAAAAATCATGGGGGTGGGGCCAGAAGGCAGAGGGCAGAGGGCAAAGGCAAGGCAGACACTGCAGAGTTGCCTCTGGGTCATTTGCCTGCCCCCTGCTGGCTCACTCGTAGGACATCTTAACTTCCTTTCTTGTCCCACCCAATGCTTAGATCTTGCAGAAGCCCAGGTCCCTGGCAGGAAAGGTAAGCCAGGAACGGTAGAATGACCAACTTCTGAGGGTCTAGTGGAGCCATAAGTGATGGGAAGCTAGAGCTCGAGGTGCACAGACCCCTCACACCACCCTTCAGCTGTATTTGTTTGTTTTTGGCAGTGCTTGTGGTTAAATGCAGAATCTTTTTCCCACTAAGCAGGGGTTCTACCGCTGACCTACAATCTTGTTCTTTTTTTTAAATGTTTATTTATTTAATGTACTTTGGCTTTATTTGCATGCATGTCTTTTTATGGTGTCAGATCAGGAAGTTACAGACAGTTGTGAACCACCATGTGGATGCGGGGAACTGGACCTGTGTCCTTTGGAAGAGCACCCAGTGCTCTTAATCTCTGAGCCATGTTTCCAGCCCTATACTCTTGTTCTTTTTTGTTGTTTTTGTTTTGTTTTAGAGACAGGGTTTCTCTGTGTAGCTTTGGAGCCTGTCCTGGCACTCACTCTGTAGACCAGGCTGGCCTCAAACTCAGAGAGCTCCTTCTGCCTCTGCTTCCCGAGTGCTGGGATTAAAGGCGTGAGCCACCAACGCCTGGCCCAGCTATACTCTTATCCTTAAAATCATTGTGTTGCTCACATAATGGTTCATGTCTGTAATGGCAGCACGTGGGAATCCAAGGCAGGAATCTGAGAACAAGTTCCACAGCGAGCCTGGACTTGTCTCAAGCCCAAATAAGTAAAGGGCTGAAGGTAAAGTACACCTGGCAGAGTAGTTCAATCCCCAGCACAGCATAAACCAGTCACAATGGTGCACACCTGTAATCCCAGCACTTGGGCAGCAGAAGCAGGAGGATCAGAAGGTAAGATCATTCTTGCCTGCATATCAATTCCAGGCCAACTTGAGGTCCATGCTAGGCAAGCATTCTACTAACTGAGCTGTGTCTATGTATATGGGTGTTCTGCTTGCCCCATTTTCATGCCAGAAGAGGGTGTCAGATCCCAGAAGAGGGTCTCAGGTCCCAGAAGAGGGTCTCGGGTCCCAGAAGAGGGTGTCAAAACAGACCATTGTGGCTGCCATGTGGGTTCTGGGAAGAGCAGCTAGTGCTTTTAGTAGTTGAGCCATCTCTTAGGCCTGTGCTCTTTTTTGTTAAACATATTTATTTCGTTATGGAACACACCACAGCATGCATAAGGAGATCAGATGACAACTTCCTGAAGTCTTTCCACTGTGTGAGTCTTAAGGATTGAATTCAGGTCTACAGGCTTGGTACTTGTGCATTTAGCTGCAGAGTCATCTCAACGGCCACTTCCATATTCTTGCTACCTGTCCCTTGTCAAATGTTTTGTAAAAAAAAAAAATCCTCTCTAGGCTGACATTGAACTCACCATGCAGATCAGGCTGTCCTCAAACTTGAAGAAATCCTCCTGTTTTAGCTTCCTGGGTGTTTGAGTACATTTTACCTTCTTAAACATTTTATCTTCCCAGTAGTATCTTTTGAATCATAAACTTTGAAGACCAAATTATATGACTTTCTCTTTTATTACTTACTTCTGGGCTGTGTCTAAGATAATTGCTTAGTAAAAGGGAATTGAGATTTCCTCCCATGTTCTCTTTTTAATTTTTTAATTTTATTTTTAAAATGTGTGTAGGTGTTTTGACTGTATGCCATCTGTGTGTCTGGTGACTTCAGAGGCCAGAAAGAGGCGTTGGATCCCCAGAGACTGGCGCTACGGTTGTAGGCCACCATTTGGATACCGTGAATCAAACCCAGGTCCTGTGGAAGAGCAGCCAGTACTCTGACTGCTGAGCCACCTCTATAGTCCCCTGTGTTCTCTTTAAAGGGTTCAGGTAGCTGTTACACTTAGAACTATCTTTTGTTCTTGTTTTTGTTTTTCAAGACAAGATTTCTCTGTATCGCTTTGGAGCCTGTCCTGGAACTCCTGGAACTCACTCTATAGACCAGGCTAGCCTCGAACTCACAGAGATCCACCTGCCTCTGCCTCCTGAGTGCTGGGATTAAAGGCCTGCACCACCAATGCTTGCTTTTCTTTTTTCCTTTTTTTCCTTTTAAGAATTTGTTATTCAAAGCCAGGTGTGGTGGCACACATCACTCGGGAGGCAAAGGCGGGTGGATCTCTGTGAGTTCGAGACCAGCTAGGTCTCGAAAAACAAAACTACTATTCAGGCTGGAGAGATGATGATCCAGTGGTTAAAAGCACTGGCTGCTCTTCCAGAGGACCTGGGTGTGATTCCTGGCATCCACGTTGTGGATCACCACCCTCCATAACTCCAGTTCCAAGGGATCTGATAGCTTCTGGCCTCCGTGAGTACCAGACACATGTGTAGTACATGGAGATATATGCAGGCAAAGCACCATGTACACAAAATAATTTCTTGTCATTTAATGAGCCTTTCTGGGTAGCTTCAAGTCATCTCCTGGTACCTCCAACACCTGAGTCATTCCAGCTCTTCCGAACTTGGCTATCTCCAGGATAGACTGTTAGGGGGTGTGTCAGGATGCCAGAGACGCCCCATCGTGCCCCTCACGATGGGAGGAGCAGCTGCAGCCTTGTTTGTGGTATCATTTGTCCATGTTTGCTCACTGGCAGTTGGGCTCAGTTCCTCTTAGGTGACTCATAACAGCTTTGTCAGAGTAAACTGGGTTTGTCTTCGGAAGTGGATCCTCTGGTGATGTCCTGACCTGGTATGTTCCATTCTTGCTGATGCTGCCACGGCACCCCAAGTTTCTCTGTCTTCCTTAGTCTGGACAGTATAGCCATGGCCAATGTATGTCTGATAGGAAAGACCTCTATCATATATTTTTTTTAAAATTTAGTTTCTTTTATGTGTTTATTTCCCTTACATGCATGTCTGTGTATCACATGGGTGCCTGGTGTCTGTGGAGGCCAGGAGTCAGAAACCCTGGAACTGGTGTTGAAGACAGTTGTCAGCCACCATGTGGGTGCTGGGTATCAAACCAGGTCCTCTGGAACTGCTCTAACCACTGGACCATGTCTGCAACCCTCCTAGCATTCATTCTGAGATCTTTTGTGTGACACTAGGCAGGAGTACAGATTCGTGCCTTCGCTGGTGGATAATTGGTTGTCCTGTGGTCAGCAGTTGATGAACCATCGAGGACTGGATTATCTTGGGGTCATTCACTGTTCTCCGATTCTCTTTAACCAGGCCCACACTGTCATGACTCTCTAGTGTTATAGTAAGTTTTAAAATCAGGAAGTAGACGCCTGTCTATTTTGTTCCTTTTAAAGATCGTTGTTTTTGAAAATGTCCTCTGCATTCCCTTATGAGTTTAGGAACTGCTTGTCACTTTCTGCAGAAAAGGCCAGCTGGAGTTTGATAGGAACTGTCCTGAGTGTGCCGGTGGCGAGGGGAGACTGTATTCCTACAGTACGGTGTCTTCTCAGCCGTGACTGGTGCAAGCCTTCCATTTTTTCTCTCTCAACAATGTTTGTAGTTTTCGTTTAGTGTCCAGGCCTGACACTTGTACTAAATTTATTCGTAACCATTTTAAATGTTTTGTATGTGTGTATTAATTTTTTTTCATACCACTGGGGTTGACCTCAGACTCTTGGTAGACATGTGTTCTGTTGTGGAGCTACAGACACAGGTCTTGGTATTTTCTATTTTTCTTTTCTTTCTTCCTTTTTTTTTTCCCCCCACATTGGAAGTTTTTTTGAGGGGGAGGTAAGAAAATAAGGTAAAGAGACACAGAGACGGGACAGAAGATGGGGTCAGGAAGAGACAGGAAAAGTCCTGTCTGCCCTCAGGGGATGGGGGGGAAGAAAGCAGTATTTTATATTTCTCGGTGTCATCATAACCATTTTATTTTATTTCTGGATTATCAGTAGTGTATAGAAAAACAGCTCTACAGGTGCTTTCTTCTCTGTTGCCTCTATTTCCTAGAAAATTAGTTCTGGTAGCTTTTTTTAGTGGATTCCTTGGGTGCCGTGTGTGTAAGGTCAAGTCAGATCAAGGTCACCCCGTAGACTCCAGCATGTAGCCAGGCTTGAAAATTATCAACTGGGCTGGGAACCTCGGCATCTGCCTGACATCCTACCTGGGAAGTGGAACTTGATGGCACCCCTGCCTTCCAGTTTGGAATTTGTCTTGGTCCATGACTGGGGCCAAGTGGTCTCCTTGTTAGCACATCAAGGATTCAGTTTTATGGTCTTAACATTTGTTCATCTTTATACATGGGTGACATGTCTGTTCTCTATTGAGAGAGAGCACCAGGTGAAGGACTTGAGCTCACTGAACTCGGTTTTGTGTCCATTTGTTATCTGACGTGTGAGTTCGGGTCTCTCTCCCTTTCCATTGTGTGTGTGTGTGTGTGTGCGTGCCCTTACTTCCCTCACTGTTGGAGTGTGACCTGAGAGTTATAAGCTGAAATATGTACTTTTGTCCCCAAGTTGTTTTGGGTCACATGTTTTATTACACTGGAAAGTAAACTAAAACACACCCTCCCCCACCCCCTATGGTGAACCATAGTACTGGATTAAACCCAGGGCCTTGTGCATTCTAGGCAGCCTTGTTTTAGATTTATTTTAAGACAATGTCTCATTAAGTAGCCTCGGCGAGCCTTGAACTTGTGATCCTCCTGCCTCAGCTCTGGAGTTTAGTGGAGAAGGGCTTTGCCTCGCAGGACTGTGAAGACTTGCTTTGATCTTGGTGTGTCTCTCTCACTGGGACAGCACTATCTGGACAGTCGTCTGTATAATTCACTCAGGGTCATTTTCAAAATTGTGCTTCTACATTTGCAGTGTGAATGAAAAATTGGAATCATGTCAATGCGCTAGATAGTTTAGTTTGTTTTTTTTGTTTTTTGTTTTTGTTTTGTTTTGATGCAGAGTTGGGAACTGGGGATCTTGCTCTTACTAAGCATGTGCTCTGTCACCCAATTGCACCCCCCCAAAAAAAAAAACCTCCAATAGAAACAAATTCAGGAAAGTTTGAAGGTTCCAGATTCACATAGTTAAGGTATTACAAGAATTAGCCATACATTTTATTCTGCCTGCCTTCCCCCTCTTACATTTCTGCAGGTTTATTTATGAAAACAGCTAGTAGAGCTGGTCATTTCTTGGGCATCATCGGCCCTAAGTAGATCTTGTCTTGGTGACATTCTGTGTTCTGCTTTGCCCCTGGGCACCTTGGTGAGTGACTGAGTGGGTATTACAGTAGAATGTGACTTTCTCCATAGTGTTATCACATTTCTACCCATTAGTTGTGTAGATAAACTTCAGTGCGCGCGCGCGCGCGCGCACACACACACACACACACACACACACACACACACACACACACGGCCCAAGGACGCCCAGCTTTGTATGTAACTGCACTTAACGTGCCTTGCCGTCTCCCCTCCTGGTGTGGCCTGTGCCTGCACTTTGGACGCGTGGAAGGAGGCCTTTGTGAAGTTGAGGGTGCTCAGCTACTTTAGGACATTTGGCTTCCATGGTACAAGAGAAACTCTTGGGGCCCCAGGAAAGTGAGGTGGCATCTGTTCATCCTGACACCTGGCCCAGAAGCAGCTCTCCCGCCCACTCCACCTGGTGGCTTCTGGAGGAGGAAGTGGCCTGTGCTGTTCAGTGACCGACAGCCATGACAGCACCGTGAGATGCTTAAGTGTTTTCACACTTGTATCTAATACTCGTGGGTGTAATGGGAAACGCCAAACGAGGCGGGGCTTTAAAGTAAATTTGTTGTTTATTAGTGTGTGTGTGTGGTGGAGACAGGGCACTTGGGGTGGAGGTCAGAGGAACCTGGAATGGGCTCTGCTCCTACCTTTCACACCCTTCCAGGCTGGAACTCAGGTCAGCTGGCTTGCTGGCAGGCACATCTGGCCTGCGCCTGGCTTTAGCTGGTTAAGGAACCCCACACTGCTTTTCTTAGTAGCCATACGAATTTGCATTCTCGGTAGTATGTATACAGTGAATAGACATACTTTTTTTCTTTTTTTTTCATTTTTGCATGTATTGTTACTTTATGTGCATTGCTGTTTTTTGCCTGTTTATATGTCTGTGTGAGGGTGTCAGATCTTGGAGTTACAGACAGTTGTGAGCTGCCATGTGGGTGCTGGAATTGAACCGGGGTCCTCTGGAAGAGCAGCCAGTGCTCTTAACCACCAATCCATCTTTCCAGCTCTACTTTTTCTTTTTTTAACCATGCACCAAAACCTTTCTTAAATTTTAAACAGAGATTCAGCTATTGCTGAAACTTCGGGTTTTTTTTTTTTTTTTTACTTGTGTGCGTGTGGTTTTTTGAGACAGGGTTTCTCCATGTAGTCCTGACTGTTCAGGAACTTGCTTTATAGACCAGGTTGGCCTCGAACTTAGAGATCCATCTATCTCTACCTCCCAAATGCTTTAATTAAAGGCGTGCACCAGCACACCTGGCTATTAGTGAAACTCATAATTTCTAAACTTAAATGGGGGCAGTTGGCTTTAGTGTAGAGTAGTGCCATCAGTGCCCACTGGAAATTGAGACTGAAGAAGTAAGTACCAGCCACCCCTCAGATGGAAGACCAGGCACAGTCTTGACTCTTTCTGGATCAAAAAGCATGGTCAGGTGCTTGCCTGCAAAGATGGGCCTCTGCTGGCAGTGGGGTGCCCACCGTTGAGGGTGGGAGGTGCTTCCTTATCCTGAACCTTGGCCTTCACATTCTCTGTGGTGCAGTGGGTTCCACCTCTAGGGCGACGATCTTGCTGGTCAGAATCTTCACAGAGATTTGCATCTTAACCTGATAATGAAAGTGCAAACTGTGAAAACTGTGACACACATCAGAACACCTAGTCGTAAGGGCTCCACACCGGGCAAAGCCGCTGGTCTGAACGCCCTTCTGTTTTCTTTTTCTTTTCTTTTTTTTAATTTTCTTTTTTTGTTTGTTTGTTTGGGTTTTTTTTTTTTTTTTGGTTTGTTTGCTTTTTGTTTTGTTTTGTTTTTTAAGACAGGGTTTCTCTGTTTAACACTGACTGTCCTGGAACTCACTCTGTAGACCAAGCTGGCCTAAAACTCAGAGATCCACCTGCCTCTGCCTCCCAAGTGCTGGGACTAAGGGTGTGCGCCACCACTTCCTAGCTGGACATACTTCTTAAATTCTACTTAAGTAAGCAGCTTTGGTCTAATCAGTGTGTAGTGGGTCAGAGACACAATTTACCAGCCAAGCTGTCTTGCCAGGTCAGAATGATCCTCCAAACTATTTTCTTCCCATTAAGTCGGAATGCACACTGTCTGCTCAGCCTCATTGTGTGGGCGGAAGAGGAAATGGGTTGGTGGTGTGGGGAGGCCCTGATCCTGTAATGTAGATGTCCTGCAGTCTTGTAGGTGTGTGTAACTAGCTGGCAAACTCACTAGTGTGAGGATTAGCTATTGGAATTTGTGTGGGATGCACTGATTGGTCTGATCAGTCTCCTGAGTGTGGGTAGCAACCCTGAATTCTGGGGAACTGGCTAGGAGGTGGCCTGTGGAGCAGCCGCTGAGACTGCAGGGAGGGAAATTGCAGACCTGACTGACTAGATTGCTGCTCTGGTTCTGTGTGGAAGGCAAAGGAGGCCAGGCTGAGAGCCAGTGGTAGTGGGTGGCCATGACCTCAGCTACAGGTGTGGGAGCGTCCTGATGGGGCCCCACGGGAGCATCGCTTCAGGGAACAGCCACCGACACCATCTTTATGTCCTCTTTCAGGGTGTTTCCTGGACTCTGTGAGCCAGCATTGGTTGGAGCTGCATAGCTTGTACCATGGACTCTCAGGTTAGATTCTGGCATCTTTTCTTTTTGTTTTTCCTGGATGTCCCTGTTAATGATGCAGCATGATCCCTCATTTGACAGGTCTACAGAGATGCACCTCACATATCCAACAGTATTGGTCTCCATTGGTATCTGATAGGGAATTGGTGTGGACTGGAGAATGATCTTCCAGAAGGATGGACTGGCATAACTGTCAACCTGGTAGACATGGCAAGGGCAGGACAGCTGTGTGAACAGAAAAGATCTGGGCTCCCACCTGCCCCAGTGAGGGGCTGAACTGGTTGTGCGCAGTAGTGGTCTCTGAGCATCCCGAAGTCTTCCCTTCCAGTCGGCCACAGCCCGCAAGTCAGGGCTGTTGTCTCCTGCTGTCCCGTAGGGCCCCTAGAGAGTAACCCTGTCACGTGGTCCTTCTCCCCGGGGCAAGAGTGGATGCTGTTGCCCCTTCCTTTTTACCTTTGGGCAGGAAAGCTGAGGCACAGACATTAGGGAGTTTGCTCACAGGGTTCAGGCCACAGTGAAATGTTGGCATTTTCTTCTTGTCTTGGCATTTGACCCCTGCCCCATTGGAACTTGCATTTTCTTGTAGATGTTTCTGACTTTTTGAATTTTTTATTCCAGCTTTTTATGATAAAATAACATAAATTTAGCATTTTTTACATCTGTTAAGAGCACAAACGTTAAGTAACCCCAAGTGTCTAAGCTTTCTAGTACTTGAGGGCCTCATGGTACACGCATAGCTGTTTGAGAGCTCCTCCCTGGCGCTCCTCCCCGGCGCTCCTCCCTGGGTGCTGCTTTTGGATACACTATATAGATCTGCAGTGAGGAGCAGAGAGGCCTGTGAACAAGACCGTCTCTGCCAGCTCTGGGAGCTCTGATTATGCACATATCCCCCTGAAGTGGGGCAGGCTGGGGGGAGGAGGGGACAAAGGCAGAGTCTGACCTGGGTCAGCACTCCCCAGTGTTTGTCCAGCACCCTCTGCCTGCCAGGACCACCCTGGGCTCATGAAGGGAATGATGGAGAAGATGGGCTTGTTGCTGGGAGCAGAGCCAGTGCAGTCAGACTCAGCATGTAAATATGGATGGAATTGAAATGATGACATTTGCCTGGCTTCCCTGAGGCAGTGTACAGGCCTTACCCTGGAAGCGGCTTCCTCAGTGGGTGTTTCCAGGAGTTCTGTAGAAGGTGGCTAGATCACCGCCTGGTGTCTACAGGCGACATTAGTTGGAGAAGATGCTGCACTATGCCACCACTGTGGGCCTCTTACTAGAACTTTTGGATCCTGAGAGTTATTGGTTCTTACAGGCATGAGCCTCAGGTCCAGCTGTGCCCTGACCCAGCTTCCATGAACCCTCCTGACTGCCTTTCCATCTTAGGTCAGCAACGGCTCAGGCCTGGAGGCTGAGCACATCACAAACCTGCTGGTGTTCGGCTTCCTCCAAAGCTCCAAGTCCAATTTCCAGCAAGAACTCAAGGCGCTGGGTCACGACTTGTCCGTGCCAGTGTACCTGGATTCAGACCTCGAGGACGAGCTGCAGACCGATGGCAGCCGGGCCAGCCGCTCCTACCCGGGAAGAATACAGCCAGGTAGGCCCTGTCCTTGCCCCTTCACCCACATCTAGGCTTTACTGCCCCCTAAAGTTCCAGGAATCTTTGGGGCTCGGTCTGTAACCCTACATTGCCAGGTGCTTACCTGTGTGCGTGTCATGTGACTTGTCTTGTGATCTGTGCTGGGTTTTGTCCAGTCATGTCCAATTCATTATCCCCTGTTTTGGGACTAATTAGAAAGTTCCTCCTTCTAATGAGCTGAGTTCTCTTCCGGTCTGGACCCAAGTCTCCGCTCTGGACCAATAATGGAATGTTTTTTACGGCAGGAACCAAGCAGGTACATTGTTGCCAATGACTGGAAGCTGGTGGAGATTTTATAACTGAGAGGTGCCCCTAGCTTAGGACTCAGCCACTCTGTCTGTCACCCCTGGCTGAACCTGCGTCTCACCACTGTGTAGACTTTGTCCTCCCCTAACCTGAGCCCAAGGCTCTGTTTGCAGCCTCTGTTTTATCCTCTCTCTGTTCTGGTGCTGTATTCGCAGCAGGGGAGGAGACTTCCTAAAGGCTGGGATGTGTCACGTGCTTGGAGCACTTGTGGGTAGTGTGCAGCTTGGCATTATGTGAGAAGGTCTTCAAAATGTGCAGGCCTGGGGCTCTGCTCACCAGTGTGTTCCTGGACTGGAGACTGTTGGGTGATTTTTTTTTTTTTTTAATTCGTGTCTGTCTAGATATGGGGGTATCCACATGCCTTAGCATACTCCCAAATATAGTTAGTGTCAGAGTTGGCTCCTTCTTTCCACCATGTATGACCCTGGTGGGGGTCGAACTCAGGTTGTCAGGCTTGGCAGCAAGCGCCTCTGAGCCAACTCACTGGCCCTCAGTTGATTTTTGATCCTGGTTGGAATCACTGCTCTGTAGGCCTCTGGGACCTCCAAGCCCTAGTCCGAGGCCTTCCAACCCTGCAGACCAGGGGCTGGAGGTGTAGGTTAGAGGTAGAGAGTGCCTAGCCTTTCTAGGGCCCTGGGTTTGCCGCTAGCAATCAAGCAAACAAAAGATAGTCAACCTCTCAAGCTAGACTTGGTGCCTGTTGCTAAGCCCAGCTTCCCTGGCCTTGGCATCTTGGGCACGGAGGCTGCGCTGCCCTTAAGTGGTTGTGAGGGAGACCAACACTGCTTTAGCTTCTCCCCACCCCCACACACACCCTGTTAATTTTTTTTGAGATAAGGTGTCACTCTGTCACCCTGGCTAGCCTTGCTATGTAAGTCTTTCCCCTGCTTCTTTCTACGTCAGTCCACGCCTTCTGACGTCAGAGCCTGACTGAACTCACAGGGTGTCAGTGAAGGCAACTGTGGGGCTGACACTTGATCTCACTGAGGCTGTGGAGAAGTCTGGTCTGATCTGACTAGGAAGAGGGGCAGAAGCTTCAGCAAGTAAGTGTGCAGAGAGGAGGAGACATAAAGTCACAGGAAACCGAAGCCAAGTAGTGCCAGGTCACTTCAGCGGACGTGAGCAAGCACTGGAAAGGCCTCAAGGAGAGCAGTATGACATGCATCGTCAGAGTGAGGGCCAGGCACGCAGGCACTGAGTGCTACAGGCGCTCGCTCCCCTGTAAGAGCAGCAATGAGGACAGGACAGACAGTACAGACAGAAGCCGTCTGTCCCTCACTCCCAGTGTTGAGTATCTTGGGCCTCCCGCCACTTCCTTAATGTGACAAGATCCAGCTCATCATAGCCTCTTCCTGGTGCTGAGACACGGGGTGAGCCTTCGTTGTGGGCCCCAGTTTGACAGCTGACTGAGGGAGGGAGCATGTCCCTGTCGGGACAGTGGGGAGCCACAGGGTTCAAACAAAACCACGGTGATAACTACTTAACTACCGTGATATGCACGCCTTTAGTCCCAGCACTCGGGAGCAGAGGCAGGCAGATCTCTCTGAGTTCAAGGCCAGTCTGGTCTACAGAGCGAGTTCCAGGTCAGACTCCAAAGCAATACAAAGAAACCCTGGAAAACCAAAAAAAAAAAAAACAACACCCTACAGTGATATTTAGTGAGCACTTTTTAGGAGCTGTATCATGAAATTACTTACTGGGCACCAACTGAATGCCACTCATGCATTGTTCTTAAGTGTTGGGTATCTCACAGTAAACCACAAGATTTTAAAATTAGTTTTTCAGGAGCTAGAGAGACAGCCTGTGATTAAGAGCATGCTACTCTTACAGAGGACCCAGGTTCAATTCCTCCCTGTACATGGTGGCTCACAACCCTAGTTCCGGGGGATCCAGTCCCCTCTTCTAACCTCCATGGATACCAGGCACATAGGTGGTACACAGACATGCATGCAGGCAATACACTCATACACATAAACAAATTAATCTAAACAGAATTACAGTTTTTCAGAAGCGCACATGTAAGCAGCTGTGTCAGACAACAGACATAGATAAAAGCGCATAGTAAGTGCCTAAAAAAGAAAGAAAGGGGAGCAGACTGGGACAGAGACCACACAGTAGGGCCAGGCAGTGGAGAGGCAGGGCAGCATCAGAAACCCCAGAAGGGGCAGCTTGAGAAGAGACAGGGCAGAGCAGGACAGTCCCGGTTGACTGTGTGGACACACAGTAGCCCTGGGTGTTTACGGAGTGAGAGGGCTGGGAAACTACACTCCCCCCTTGTGAGGAGGTGAAGGGTGCTTGGTCTCTGGGCACGCAGCAGAGTTGGGACAAGATGCTGCTGACTACACAGCCCCTTCCCTAGTGCCTGGCTGGTCCCAGGCTCATCTCAGCCGTGTCTCAGAGTAGCTGCAGCTCTGGGCCTTTTCCCGGTGGCAGCAAGTGTGTGATCTGCAACACTTGCTCAGCCAGCCTCGGGCTTTCCCTGGACTCAGGGCCATCTGCAGCTAGTCCCCACGAGGGCATGTGTGGCGGGCGGTAGGAAGTGGCATGAAGCTGTTGACCAGGACCATTGTTGAGTCTTGTTTGTGTTTGCTGCCCAAATGTTCAGATTCTGTGAGCCAGGAAGAAATCATCCAGAGCATTGCCCATCACCTCGCCCAAGTAGGCGATGAGATGGACCACAGCATCCAGCCCACACTGGTGAGAAATCTGGTGGCACAGTTCATGAACGTCAGCCTGTCGGAGGAAGTAAGTATGTGACTCTAGCCTTCTAGCTCCTCTTCAAAAGCACTTGGGACGTGCAGGGATGGTTCCCTTCATAGAGCCAGTCTCTCTCAGGAAGTGAGTTCATTCCTTGACTGCCACCAGCATGGTCTCTCCAAAGAATTCAGTCAGTTGAGATGTAGGATCCGGTAAGTCAGAGTCCAGAATTTAGAGGATCAAAATGCCTGATCCTTACAAGAAGACCTGGTCTTCGCTCTGGGGAGTCAGGTGAAGACACCAGTAGAGACCTTGATGTCATTTTCCTCAGGGTGGCAATGTAGCCTCTGCTTGGCTTTGTGGCTATATTAGTACACAGAAACTGACAAGACGCCACCAAAGCTTGTTCCTCAGCCATGTCCTTCCCGAAGGGGGGGGAGAGAGAGACCAGGCTGGCCTCTGCTCCCAAGTGCTGGGATTAAAGATGTGTGCCACCATCGCTCCGTCCCCCTTTCTAATAACATTTAAAGTTAATTACATGTCTCTGCGTGCACCTTGTGTGTGAGTCCGTGCACACACTTGCAGATGCATGCGGAGACATCAGGCCATCGTGAGCTGTTGTATGTGTCTGCTGAGAACTGAATTGGGTCCTCCAGAAGAGCAGTGCATGCTCTTAACCTCTGAGCCACCACCCCAGGCCTCATGCTCTAGTGTCTGCCTTTCCCACTTAAGGAAAGATCATGTAGTCCCCAAAGCCAAGTACATCAGTAAGGTGAGCCTCAAACATCCTCCTCAGCAGCCGGTTCTGTAAGAACTGCCTGCCCAGAGCGACTCAGTAGTGTACACAGGCTGCTCAGTAAACACACTGGTGGGTGCATGCCCCATGCCCCCCTCCGCCACTCCCCCTGCCCAGCGCTCTTAGCTGTATAATCACCACTGCCCGTGAAAGGGTTCTGTCCTTTGCCTGGATCAGTCCCTCTAAGGGAAGAGTGTCAGTAAACTGTCTTCTCTCACGTGCAGGACAGACGGAACTGCCTGGCCAAAGCCCTCGATGAGGTGAAGACGGCATTCCCTAGAGACATGGAGAATGAAAAGGGCATGCTGATAATGACCTTGCTACTGGCCAAAAACGTGGCCACTCATTCGCCGTCCTTGCTCCGTGATGTCTTCCAAACGACAGTGAACTTTATTAACCAGAATTTACTCACCTATGTGAGGAACTTGCTTAGAAATGTAAGGACCAGTGACAGCAGCCCCTGGCTTTCGTGGAGTCCCATGGTCCTTGCCTGCTCGCCTATTCTATTCTTTTGACTGTTCAGAATCCAGCAGAGCCTTCTGCTGAAGTCCTGTCACCGCCATCTCCCTTCTTACTGACCGCAGGCTGTGTTCAGATGAGGGGCAAAGGCTGTTTCACACCCTGGTGGGACCCAAGCAGGGTGGGGAGATAGAGAATGACAGCCAAGGCCCAGCTCCCTTGGGCTACTCTGTACTGTCGGAAACTTAAGCTTAAGTATGTGTGTGCTGTGTGCGTGAATGTGAGCATGTGTGGGGTGCCTGTGGAAGTCAGAGGTTACCAGGTGTCTTCTTTTAGCTTGCTCTACCTGTCTTTCTGAGGTAGGGTCTCAGTGAAGCTGAAGTTTGTCATTTAGACTAAACTAGTTGGCCAGCGTGCCCTGCCCCCCCCCCATCCCTTCCCAGCACTGGGTTACAGATGAGTGCCTCCAATGGTTTCTGGTTTCTATGTATTGGTGCCCTACCTGTGTGTACCATGTGTGTGCCTGATGCCTGCAGAAGCCAGAAGAGGGTGCTGGATTCTCAGGACTGAAGTTGCAGGTGGTTGTGAGCTTTGATATTGTGCTGGGAATTAAGCAGGGTCCTCTGGAAGAGCAGTCAGTGGTCCTAAGGACCGATCCATCTCCCCAGCCTCCAAGTCTGGTTTTCAGATGAGTGCTAGCAATCTGAACTCAGCTCATCATGCCTGCATAGCAGCTCGCTGGGCCATCTCCACAGCCCCAGGCATAATAGAAGTAATCAAAACATTAATTTGTGTGTGTATGTATGTTTGTGTGGGGGCATGTGTGTCAGAAGACAACTTGTGGGCATGGTTCTCTCCTTCCATTGTGTGGGTCCCAGGAATTGAACTCAGGTCATCAGACTTGGTGATATACGCCTTAACACACTGAGCCATCTCACTGGCCATAATTTAAAATCTTTAAACGTGTGCTTCCCAAGGATCAAGGAGAGAAACTAATAGGGATAATAATTGAATGTGAGAAGCTATCCAAGCTCTCCAGTGGCCTGAAGACATGTCCATTGTGAAGGTAGCCATGCATTTTATTTTGGTGGCACTGGGAATGAACTCCAGAGCCTTGTACATGCTTGGAAGAGTGCTTACACCAAGCTTCTGCCTTCCTGCTGCTCAGAAAGCCAAGTGTCCTTAAAGTCTCATGCTCTGGTCCACAAACCCAAGTAGAAGCTAGATGGACAGATCTAACCTGTAATATTTGCAAATGTTAGGAATTTTAGAACATGTCAGAAACACTACCTACAAGTCCCTTTTTGGGGGAGGAGGTTGGTTGTTTATTGGGAGAAGGCAGAGTCCTCACTCTATCTCAAGATGGCATGGAATGCAAGGCAATCTTCCTTCCTGCCTCAGCTTCCTGAGTGCTGGGACTTCAGGCATGCACCACCCACAACACATGGGCAGGGGTGCTGGGGACTGAGCCCAGGTCTCTGTGTGTCGGGCAAGCAGTTTGCAGAGCACCGAATCCTAGGATGAGACTAACCCTGCTGCTCTCTCGTCAGGAGATGGACTGAAGGAGGCCTGCAGAAGCATGACTGGCTGAGACCCAACGTGGTAAAAACGGTGAAGCCGCCTCCACAGGAATGCGGCCACGTAAACACACGCTGGAGTGAAGACAGCGCCCAGATAATGGCTGTCTCCCTATTTTCAGGACAATGTTTTGAGCTGGTGACTTAAGTTTTCTACACTGAGCTAGTCTAATGAAGATGCCAGTGTGCGTGTATCTGAAGGGCTTGTGGCAGCTCCTGCATCCATCCCTTGTACCTCTATCTGATCAGCTGTACAGGTTCCCACTTGGAAATTAAACATAAAGCAGGCTGTAAGGCAGAAAAACTTACTTGTAATGTGAAGTTACTGTTCACGAGAGGCTAGCTTTGGGACGCTGTCTTCACCATGCAGGCGGGCTTCTGTTTCAGAACAGTGCTAGGAGTGAGAATTCCACCCAGTGCTCAGAAGGCCGCAGCCTCCTTTGTAAAAGCCGAATGGCAATGAGGTTTGAGACTGTGTTCTGTTCTTAAAACCATGGGAAGCACTGACCACTCACCCCATCCACCCACCCACAAGGGTTTGCTAAAGATCTCTATCCCAGTGCGAACAGTTATGCACACCATCTGTGTGATGTCAGTCATTACAAACAGGTTCTCGCTAGGGAACACAGCTACACAAGCAACAGCTGCAGTAGCAGGCTCAACCAGAATGAATAGGAGATCTGAAAGAGCCAGTAATCCAAACAGTCCCATTGTCACATGCAGGCACACACACACACACACACACACACACACACACACACACTCACTGAGCATGCAATAGAGTGGGCCACCATCTCAGTCAAGTTCACAGAGATAACCTCCAGTCACATCTGATGTCTGATATACTTCCTGGGAGGCAAAGCAAAATTGTGCCCTTTTCCCCATGCCAACACTCTAGAAAGATTCTATGTATCAAAGCCAAATGTCCCCTCTCTGCTTTTGTATTTGGGAGACAAGGTCTCACTGTGTATCCTCAAATGCAGGGTGATTCTCCTGCTAACTTCCTAATGCTGGGATTGCAGGCATGAGCCACCACTACTTGCTAAGCATCCCAATGTTTAATCCACTCCAGCCATGACAGTTTGCTGTATCGTGGAAATGGGTAAATTTTTCTTTAGACATGATCCTTGTGTGGGTATAATTGATGGATGATTTTAATTCAGAAATATTTTTCATTCTGTTCTAAAAATATGTGAATTGGTTTAAGTGATAGAAATTTGTTTCTTCAAAATAAAGGCTTTCCTCTCTAAAAGATGCTTGCACAGTGACATCTCCCAGATGATGGAGTGCATCAGGCAGGGCACACCATTCCTGATCTGACCTTCAGGATCCAGCATAAACACAAGTGTTTTCCAGAGACGTATTTTTGAAGGTCAGGGTTGTGCTATCAGAACTGAGCGGCAAACCAAGAAAGCACACACTTTACGTACATAAGACTTCAAAGTCAAGAGTAGCAGACAAACAGATGAGTGAGTCACCATTTACCATAAAATCTCATTTTATTGTCACCTCCAGGGTGCTCCCCACAAGACATTGCTTCTGACTGAAAGCAGTTTTGTCGTTTTCCATAGAGAAAGAACAGATTGGGCAGAAAGTAGACAGCAGGACGGGAAAGGAGCCAGAGCAATTCACATTAATGAGCTGAGCAAGGCAAGACGATCTCGGTCAGCTGACCAGCACAACCGAGTGCCGCCTGAGTCAAGTGCTTACGATAATTTTATTTAGTTTTGGTTTTTTGTTTTTCGAGACTGAATTCCTCTGTAAAGCAGCTCTGGCTCTCCTGGAACTCACTCTGTAGACCAGGCTGGCCTGGAACTCACAGAAATCCACCTGCCTCTGCCCCCCCCCCCCCCCCCCCCCCAGTGCTGGGACTAAAGACGTATGCCACCATGCCCAATGCTAATTTTATTTTTTAAATAGGATCCCATGTATTAAAAGTTGACTGTTAGTTCTTAGCCAAGTTTGGCCTTGAACATCATCTTCCTTTACCTGAGTGCTGGGATTATAGGTATGGATGCCATGCCCAGTTTATGTGGTGCTGGGATTGAACCCAGGACTCCATGTATCCCGGGCAAACAACTTTAGCAGCTCTATGTATCTGCCTGACTCTGCTATGTAATAATTACCAGTCCAGTACTTTGGGGATGGAGGACAACAAGGTACTAGAAACAGTTTAACCAGAGTTAGGAGAAAGAGGCACTTTTAATCTGAAGGGAGAAAGATTACAAGAGCAGAGAAAATACAGGTCCAGGGAAAAAAAAGTTTTTCTTTTCCTTCCATGCTGGCCAACAAATGGCCCATGTACACAGGGACCAGACAGATCTTTTTAACCCTCACTAAGGGAAGATGTAGCTTACCTTCCTGGGTGGGGAAGGCCTCCACAAACCTGTCATCTCAAAATGATAACTGTGGTGCTGGCAAGATTGCTCCATGAGTAAGGTGCCTTCCACCAAGTGTCGGGACTCACATGGCGAAAGGAGGGCACCAACTCATCTCACAAGGTGTCCTCTGACTCCCCCACACACAGTGACATGTATCCACACAGTGTATAAATTAATAGCTTCTCATGTCGAAATGTTTGCTGGAGGAGTTATGTCCAGTAACCAGGTTCTTCTGCAACGCAAAGAACAGGTCTGCAGAAGTGTCTAAAATAACTTCTGAGAGGACAGGAGAATCCCGAGCTGGCTGCTCCAACTTGGGCTGTGGCCTTGCAAGTGTCCCTGAGACAGTTCTGACCCGAGTGACACTGAAGCAGCTGAGGGACTGGCCCTTGTGTAAACGGGCAGGGGCGTAGGAAGGGCCCTACTGGCAAATGGGACATGGCAAGCCAAGTTGGGGCTTGGGGAAGGGCTGTGTGAAGAAGACAGTGTGTTCATCTTTAACAACTCTACTTAAAGGTTACACAGCTGTAGAACCAGAGTGGATTCTGATGGACAGACACAGCACTGTTCTGTGGCAAGATTTCATTAGGGAGCACTCTTATCACATAAGTAAGATGGAAGACTATCGGGTCATCCCTGAGTCTGAGTATCAAGAAACCAAAATCCTCTAGGTGTGCCTATATCCTCCATATGCCTGCCCTGGGCTGACTGATGGCCACAAGGGAAAAGGACCAGAGGGATCAGAAAGGATCCGGGCAGTGCTGGCACATGCCTTTAATCCCAACGCTTGGGAAGTAGAGGCAGGTGGATCTCTGCAAAGTTCAAGGACAGCCTGGTCTACAGCTCAAGTTCCAGGACGGGCTCCATAGCTACTGAGAAATCCTGTCTCAAAAAAAAAAAAAAAAAAAAAAAAAAAAAAAAATCTGCCAAAAGGGAGAGATGTGTCAAGTGGTTGCTTTTGCCTGTCGCAATGCATATCTGATGATGGCAGCTGTGTCAGATGGCCTGACTGTATTTATAGCAAGCAGACAACACATTAAATAAGAATGCTACCGATCACTCAACTGCCATAGGGCAGCCCTGAGGCACCTCACCCAGCTAAAGGGATGACAGTGCAATCGGAAGTCACTGAGCATATACCCTTAGTTTTCTGTACTCAGTGAGTTCCGTATGGGGGCTGCACCTAGCCTGCTGTGTGCAATAAACTGACACAGCTGTTGATGGGCACTCGCCAACACTGGTAAGGTCACTAGGAAAAGCATGAGGCCTGGAATCGGGAGTTTTCACTCACTGCCTTGCCTCTGATAAGCTAGCCAACTAGATAAACCAGGAGTTCTGGGTAGGTTCCTACTCAGTCAAGTATGAGTGGCTCCTAGGACCTGGAGGGACCACAGGTATGAAAGTCTAGCCTCTAGCATGTATTCCTAAGTGCTCAATATCAGCAGAAGGGGCACCAGCCCAAACTACCACCTCACAAATGGAGGTTCTCAGGGCTGTACTGTCGCTAAAAGATTGTGTGTGTGTGGGGGGGGGAGGGGGGGGCTGATCATACTACTGAGAGAGAATTCATGAAGACCTAAAATAAAGGACTTTTCCAAGACAAGGTTTCTCTGTATTGCTTTGAAGGCTGTCCTGGAACTAGCTCTGTAGACCAGGCTGGCCTCGAACTCACAGAGATCTGCCTGCCTCTGTCTCCCGAGTGCTGGGATTAAAGGCGTGCGCCACCAGCGCCTGGCAGGACTTCTTTTCTTAGCTAGAAAGTGTAGTTTCTATAAAGTAGCTCTTAAAATGTCAAATGCCCACCTCTCACCTTTGGAGCGAAAGGCAGAGCGGGCACTGTGTTCTTCTGATTGAGGGACTTCACAGAGACAAAGACGAGCAGTGGCAGCTGTGACTCTCAGGACTTCACTCCCCCTAGGACAAATGACACCTGCAGGGACTGGAACATAGGCAAGAGGGGCCGGGGTGCTTTGGGTGAGGCCAAACGAGCATGCTAATCTAGCGCAGTGGTTCTCAACCTTCCATGTTGTGGTGTGGTGACCTCCAACCATACAATTATTCTTGTTGCTACTTCCTAACTGCAATTTTACTACTGCTATGAATTATAATGTAAATACCTGATATGCAGGCTGTCCGATCTTCTGCGCGTGCAAGCGCGTACACACACACACACAAAGGGCTCTCGACCCCCCAGGTTGAGAACCGCTGATTACACCATCTTCTAGAAGGCAGTGAAGGTCATGCAAGTCCCTCTTGCTAAGGCACTCTGGACTCAGATTTGTCACTTCAGTACAGAAGATTAAGTTGGTATTCTTTAACTCTGGTGTTTCTGTCAGGAAAACCCCAGAGTGGAGCAGTTAAGAATTCTGTGAAGGGTTGAGGTGTAGGAGCACGCAGCACAGGCCCCGTGTGAGCAGTCCCAGCACGAAGTACACACAGAGGTGACTCGACTGTGATGCTGTGTCCCCTAACCATTAGTCTTGGGGAAGAACAGTCTCCTATCAGTCCCCCAGATGAACAAGGACTTGACAACTAATTTTAAAGTAACAATAAAACCAGGTGTGGTGACACATGCTTGTAATCTCAATCCTGAAGGCTGGATTACAAGTTCAAGACCAACCTAGGCTACACAGCCAGACTGCCTGTTTAATTTGTTTAAAGTAATGACAAACCTAGGGTCTGCAGTGACAAAAGCATCTTGTGATGGCTGCTCCATCCCACTGCCAAGCACAGGGCAATGAAATGCCGCACACCTACATCCCGGGGAAAAGATCCCTGTGGGAGGAAACAATGAGAAGTTACCATCACTACCATCACCCAGGAAAACACGCCTGCGCAAATTAGGCTAGTGTTCGCAGGGAGTAAAATACAGCAACAAGCAGTTAGTCACTCCCACACGAACGAGGCTGTCAGCCCTTAAATGGGCTGTACCAGTGGGTGTGAGAGGGTTAACACAGGAAGAAAAAACTTAAAAACAAACAAGTAAGGTGACCCACCAGTCTCTGACCCATGAGACAGAATATAGGGCCATGTCACCTGTGAGAACTAAGGATACTTCTCCCATCTCCTCCAGCTACACTAGAGCCTTTCACTTGAGCCAACATTCTCTACGTGGGACACAAACTCACAACAGGGCATCACAGTGCGACACATGGACAGGACACACAAACATGCTCTAATCTCGTCCTTCATCAACTCTTTGAAGTACTTTTGTAGGGATGGTTTCTTTAAAAAAATAATTTTTAAAAAATCAAGCGCAATTAAAACATCAGTTCTTGGTGATCAGGAGTAGTTAAAAGTATTTTTATTATAAATTTCAGGATCTAAGAAGTAATGTTACATGACTAAGTTAAATCTGAGAAGACTTCTTACCAAGCACGTGTGCCTTGCAGGTGGCCTGCAGGCATGAGAGGGGCAGGTCCCACCCCTCCTTGAGGGATGGGGTCAGCCAAGTGACAGAAGGCCCTGCAGAGTGCCACTAACTAGAGTGAGTGCATGGGATCCTCTTGGTCTATCACCCGGGCATCGGGCAGAAGAGAGTTCAGGCCAAAAGGTCTCCTCTTGAACTCAGAAGACCAAAACGGTGCCTCAGCAGCAGTCTTGGTCTTAAATTCAAGTTTTCATTAAGTGATACCTAATATTAAATGATAAAATTTTATCATTTATTTCAATGATTTACACTGAATAAGGGTTATGATCCAACCTGTTCTGGAAGCCAAAGGATGACACTGCTTCCTTCACGGCAGGAGACCCACAGAGAAGTTGGTGATGTCCCAATGACCAAGGTCAGGTACTGGGAAGCACACTAACTCAGGGTTCCAGACGGTGCACATGCCATCAGAGGTGTCACTGCTAAGTCACGGGCACATGGGGTGGCTGGCTACATGTGTGAGAGGTCGAACTGACCTTGACAGGGCGTGTAGACCACCTTCCTGCCTCTACGAACAATGAGTGCAGCCTGCAACCTGCACTGGCAATCAGACTAGGTAACCCTAAGTCTCCTACAGCTTCAACGTATTTATCTTTTCTTGAGGGTTTCACCATGCAGTCCTGACTGGTTTCAAACTCAGTATGTACACCAGGCTAGCTTTGAACTTGTGATAATCTCCTTGCCTCCACTTCCTAAATACTGGGATTACAGATGGTGCCACCAAACCTGGCCTGGGTATTTATCTTTTAAAGATTCCTAAAGGCAGCATCTTTGAAAGATGGAACCATGGGAAGCTTGGGGCTTTGCTGGGTTCGAAGGGGTACAGGGGTACCTGAGAGGTGGTGTAATGTGGGAGAGTACCTCACGGTACAGAATGGGAAACCAGAAAAAAAAAGCAGCTGCAGACAGAGCATAGCAAGTTCACCCGTTACGAGAAACTGCAACAGGATGAGCAGCTGGCTGTCCCCAGCTGCGGCTTCCTCCCCCAGATTCTCTTAATTGAACCCTATCCCTTAAAGCAGTAGCCCTCAACAGGGGATGACTTTGTCCACAGGGACATTTGGCAATGTAGGAGACATTTCTGGCTGCACTCACTAATAGTGGGGTGCCGCTGGCATCCAGTGGGTAGAATCCAGCAATGTTTCCAGGTGTCACCTAATGCACAGGGCAGCCTCCCACAGAGAATGACTGAAAGGTCCAAGGTGCCCAAGTTTGACAGGCCTGTTCTAGATGGGAATTGCACTCTTACCCTTCCAAATCTAGCATGAGCCAAGGCCCTCAGGATGACAACCAGGCCAGTGTGAACATTCTATCTCAAGCCATTGCCATGCTGAATAGAGAGCCCAATTCCCCCCAGTGTCCTGTAAATGTCCACTCCACTGCCGGCAGACTACGTTCCAGTGAATACAACTAAAGCCGTAGGTCCCTTTGTCTTCTTTGTCGTCTGAAAAAGCTGTTACTTCTTTCTTAGAGCCAACGCAACTCCCACTGCCACTGCCAGGATGGCTACTGCAGCAGCCCCTCCAAACAGCAGTACAGCCTTGCCCTCTGAGGGCGGGGCGCGCTTGGCCGCTCCCCCGGCAGTGCTGGCCTCCCCGGTGTGGCTCTCTCTCCTGCTCCTAGGCCCCTCCGCACTCAGCTGGACAGCCTGCTCCGCCCCCTCCAAGGCAGCGGGCCTCTCTGCTGCTGCTTCCAGCTCCTCCTCGCCAAACTCCACAAATACAGATGGAGTGGGGCTGGTTTTCTCGGCCCTCGCTTCTGCAGCTCCCTTGGTGGCGGTGTGTGGGAGCAGGGGAGCCGCGGCTCCCGGGAACGCCTCCTCGGGTACCTCTTCCTTCTCCACGTGCACAATGTCGGAGTTGGAAGAGTTATTCTCGCTCTTCTCCCCAGCCGCACTGCTGTCCAAGCTTTTCACTTCCTCGGGGTCCATGGCTATCTGCTGCCAGGACTCAGGCCCCAGGGACACCGGGAGGCTTTCTGTGTGCCAACTCTGGCTAGCAGACAGCGAGACAGGTAAGCTCTCAGACTGCCAAGATGTTGTCACGGTTGGGGACTCCGGGGGACTGACTTGTCCGGAGTTGTCACTGGGCAGGATATAAATGTCATTACTATCTTCTGCAATAATCCCAGGGTATTCTTCCTCCTCAGACTCAAGACTAAAGATAGTGCCCTAAAAAAGGAGAGGGAGAATTCACAAACAAACTCATTAATACTAAAAACTGCCAACCTAGGGCACATAATTCTCATCTAACATCAAGTTTCCAGAGTAAACCATGGCCCTGACCTACAGTTCCTGAACAGAATACACGAAAGTCAGAGTAAGTGCTGAGGACTTTCCTTTTTCCTCTTTTTGAAAAAGGTGCACTTCTCCCCAGGCTTCTCCCCCTGCACCTCAAATACATTTTGGGTTTTTTTATTTTAATTTTTAATTAAAAACAATTTCCTGTACACTGTATTATGAGCACCTTGTTCCTTTCCTCCCAGTCAAAAAGCTTTTAGTGTCCTGCTTTGGCCTCTTAAGTGCTAACATCACAGATCTGAGCCACCATACCTTGCTAGAAGGGAGAGTTTTTGTTTTGTTTTGAGACAGGGTTTCTCTGTGAAACAGTCCTGGCTGTCCTGGAACTTACTCTGTCGACCAGGATCCATCTGCCTCTGCGTCCTGAGTGCTAGAATTAAAGGCGTGCGCCACCACTGCCCGGCTAAAAGGTAGAATTTTTGACAGCCCCACTGTGCATTATATACAGCCAATTAACTCAGAGCAGCAGAGAAAATGAAAACAAGATCTTGCACTCTGGGAATCTGCTAGAAAGTACAGAAGCACTGTCACGGGCCAAGTGCTAGGAGAGTTTAGAGATGAATGGTTCTTTGGGTATGAGAAGGCAGGAGGCTGATGGCAGAAAAATCATGGGATTCTGGCAACAAAGGCCATCAAGAAGGCACAATTCAGCCAAAGCACAGAGCTATAAAAGGCAGGCAGGGACTGTTTACTCTGCACTGTGTATATGAGGAGTAGAAAGTTCAGCCATGACTGATAGACTAACACTAAGGACTTTATTCCATAACAAATGGTTAGTCACTGAGATCTCTAAAGAAAAAAGTACAGTCGAGCTCTGCTTTAAATATTACTCTGGGCCATCTAGATAGCTGAGCAAAGTAAAGGTGCTTGCTGCCAAGCCTCATGACCTGAGTTCAATTCCCAGAGGCCACACAGTGGAAGAAGAAAACTAATTTCTGCAAGTTGTCCCTTACCTCCACGCACACAGTAAATAAATAAATAAACAAACAAATAAGTATTTTGGTATTGATGACATAATACTTGTACTGTCTTTAGTGGGAGTAGCCTTTAACCTCAGCACTCAGAAGGCAGAGGCAGGAGGGTCCCCCTGGTCTACAGTGAGTAATAGGCCAGCCAGGGTTACATAGTGAGACCCTGTGTCCACAAGAGCAGAGATGAGACACCCATTAGTAGGGTGGTGAGAGGCCTGCAGGCTGATTCCAACCATGCAGGAGGAGGGGAGAACTTTCTTAGTTCTTGAGTCCCACATACATGCTGAGGCATTGCATGCCTGCACATACGAGGGTTATACATGCATGAACACAAAATTTTTAAAATTACAATGGTATATAGAGAAATAGGTATACAATATACTTATGTAGTATCTATGATGTATTAATGTATAATAAACAATTATATTATTTTATAACACAGTACACAACACTATACAGGAAAACTGGAGGGGCTTTGAAGAGAGAAAGTCTGTAAATATGTTTCTCATACTGGTTAATGAATAAAGCACTGTTGGCCAATAGGAAAACAAGATAGTAGGAACTAGGAGACAAGGAGGAAAGAGGAAGTAGTAGGGAGGAGTCAAGATGGAGAGACCGGGGAGAGGACAACGCCAGCCCATTCCCCAGTAAGATAAAACCACGTGGAAATACTTAGACTAACAGAAATGGGTTAATACTTAAAGACAGAGCTAGCCGATAAGAAACTAGTACCTGGCCAACAGCATCATATCAAATACAGAGTCTCTGTGCGTTATTTGGGGCTGACGCGGTGGTGGGACAAGACCAGTGGCGGGAGGAAAAACCTACCCCTTACAAGAAAGGCATCTAGGAAGCAGGCTGTGATGGCACACCTATGACCTACGACCCATGATTCAGAGGTGAAAGGAGTAATGTGATCTGGACTGCACTGTGAGACTTTCTCTCTCAAAAACAAACATGTAACAATAACCATGATGGGGGGGGGTGCTTCCAAGCCTTGGAGCTTCTGGGGATGAGGCTAGCCTTTGGATCTAAACTGCTCAGGTACCCAGAAGAGAAGTACTAAGGTGAGAGAGAAGGCAGGAGGAGTGTGGAGAAAGGGAACACACTCAGAATAGGGGTTGTTGGTTCAGTTCAGAAAGAAAGAGATGAAGGCTTTTACTAGCTGCTGTGATCACTATAGGACATGGAACTAAGAAAGAGGGCTAGAGAAGATGCTGTAGTGATTAAGAGCTCTGGCTGCTCTGCTAGAGAACCTGGGTTTAATTCTCAGCACCCACTGTAACTCCACTTCCGGAGGATCCAATGCCTCAAACAAACAAACAAAACAAAACAAAACAAAACAAAACAAAACAAAACAAAAAAAAAACAGAGCAAGGATTTTCATGTGCAATTTTCTTCTTTCCTTTTTATTGAAAATAGATTCTTCTCTCATACAATATATCCCAACCAGTTTCCCCTCCCTCTACTCCTCCTAGTTCCCCACCACCACACCCTATTCTTTCTTTCTTTCTTTTTTTTTTTTTCTCCTAGGGATGGAATCTAGAGACTCATAAATGTCAAGCAGGCCCATGGGACCACTGAGTTCATCTCAGCACCTCAGTCCACTTGAATGTTCTTTTATTAAATAGAAAGAAAAAAAAAAAAAAAAGAAAAAGTTTTTTTTTATGTGTAAGGGTGTTTGGCCTGAATATATGTCTGTGCATTGCCTGCAGAGGTCAGAAGATGGCATCAGATGCCCGGAAACTGGAGGTTTAGCTGGTAAGTTACCATGTGGGTGCTCGAAACTGAACCCAGGCCCAGCAAAATCAGCCAGGGCTCATGTTAATCTTAACATGAGAGGGTTTGAAAGAGACCTTAATACCTTTCAGAGAGGTCAAAAACATACAATCTTGGGGCTGGAGAGATGGCTCAGCAGTTAAGAGCACTGGCTACTCTTCTAGAGGACCTGGGTTCAAGTTCCAGCACCCACATGGTAGCTCACAACTGTCTGTAACTCCAGTTCCAAGGGATCTGACATACTCACACAAACATACACCCAGGCAAAACACCAATGCACATGAAATAAATAAGATTTAAAACAAACAAAAAACCATACAGTTCATCCTATTTAACTATTAAAAAGCCAAGTCTGATGTGTACGAAGACCATACTGTAAAGCATACATATGCTATACAAAACTATAGTATTACTGAGCAAAACTAAAGCAGTCTAAGTAAATAAAGGGCTATTTAGTATGTTCATAGGCTGAACATGAAGGGCATTTTAAAATGTCAATTATTTCCCAGACTGGCATGGTAGGGACTGATGGCAGATTCAGAAGACAGAGGCAAGTAGATCTCTGAATTCAAGCCTAGCCTGATCTCCAGAGCAAGTTCTAGGACAGCCAGGGCTACACAGAGAAACCCTGTCTGGAAAATAAATAAAAATGTTAATTATTCCTCAATGAAGCTATTATGATGTAGTTTCAAATATACAATCCCATCAGGCTTTTTCTTACAGAACCTGACAGCCTAACTCTGAAATTTATACTATAGGATATCAAGACTCACTAGGCCAGGTGTGGTGGTGCCTCTTTACCCACTACCCAGGAGGCAAAGATAGGAGGGTCTTTGTGAGTTTGAGGCCAGCCTAGGCTACACAGTCATTAAGAAGGCCCACTGACAGCATAAGCTCTTCCCCTTGGGCCTGCCTTCCCCCTCTCGGAGTGAGCTCCATTCCATTGCTAAGCACAGGACTCTGGTCCAATAGGTTGCTGCAGGAAAAAGAAGCTAAAACCTCAGCATGTGCTTCCCTGACTCTTATCTGCACCCGCAACACAAAGAATGTGTTATATGCAAAGAATTAGTGGGATGTCTGAATTTTGTACGTCTCAAACAAAGGGCAAGGCATGTGGAAATACTACCATAAACTGGCATTCTTTAAAGTTTTTAATTTATTTAAAAATGTCTCATCACAGAGTGTGTGTGTGTGTGTGTGTGTGCGCGCGCGCGCCCATGCATGTGCATGTTTGCACATGTGTACAGACGTGTAGAGATGAGCCTACATATGACACAGTCAGAGGATAAGTTATGGGAGGTGATTTTTCTTTCCACCATGGAGGTTCTAGGGATCAAATTCAAGTCACCAAGCTTGATGGCAAATGTTTTTCCCCACTGGACATTCTTACTAGTTTTTAATCCCTTTTTTAAGAATTCAGATTCATAGTGGCTTATAAATCCATATAACATAAAATTCATTATCTTAAGTATACAGTTCAGTGGATTCTAATATACTCACAATGTTGTATACCATCACCAGAATTTAAGCTAATTGTAAAGATTTCCTCTTTCTTTTTACACAAGACTTATGCAGGTATTCAAACAACAAGTTTGTTTATAATTAAGTTGAGCCTAAGGAAACCAGGGATAACCAAGTTCCTGAAAACCTGTATCTTAATAACTTTGCGGTGCTAAAATTAGAATGTTTTAGCTGTGATGAGTATGGAACCCAGGACCTCATAGAGGCAACGCACCCAAAAGTGGTATCTATCATTTAGCTTTAGAACCTGTCTCCTCCCAGTGCCCCTCCTCCCAGGCAAAGATCCACTCCTGTGGGAACGCTTTCAAACTCATTATACCTCCATTAGCATGACGGGAATGTAGGACCAAGCAACAATTCCAACCTTCATCAATAATGAATGCTACAAAGAGCCATTTACAATCAAGAAAACTACCATCAGTAGCAGAACTCATGGAATTATGGGCAGCCAGAAGGTTAAATGCTGAGACAGAGCACCAAGTCTACCTTCGCTCTCTCCTCTCTCATTTTATCATCTTGCTGCCCCTTAAGTACAATATATATCTCAATGTATTCCTAAGTGTGGGTCTTTTGTTTGGTTTTGTTGTTTTTGAGACAAGGCCTCATGTAGCCCAGGGGAACTGTGAACTCAGTATGTAGCTGGGAGGAATGGAAAGATGGGTTGGTGGTTAGCGCACTTGCTGCTCTTCCATGGCACCAGGAGCTGACTCCCAGTACCCACATAGCAGCTCAAAACCAACTACAGTTACAGAAATCCTACACCCTCTTCTGGCCTCTTCCAACACCAGACACACAACAGCCACATGCACATAAACAAACAATGAAGCAAGAATGCTTTTAATATTTATTTGTTTGTTTGCTTTTTTGTGGCAGTGTCTATATAACCCTGGCTGGCCTCAAACTCAGAGATCCACCTGCCTCTGCCTCCCAACTGCTGGAATTAAAGGCATGAACCACCACAAAACGTGTGTGTGTGTGTGTGTGTGTGTGTGTGTGTGTGTGTGTGTGTGTGTACGAAATGGGGTGACATTTTGTGTCACAGAGCATGTGTAAGTGTGAGGTCAGAGGACAACCTCCTGAGTACAGGAGTCAGCTCTCTATGCACCATGTGAGTTGCAGAAACTGAACTCAGGCACTGACAGCAAGCACCTTTACTCACTGAGTTGTCTCTCTGGCCCTGGACTCCTGATCCTCCTTCCTCTGCCTCCTGAGTGCTAGAAATACAGACTTGTGTCACAAAGTCTGCCTCTGTTTTTTTGTTTTTGTTTTTTAAGACAGAAGATTCCATACTTAGCCTGAAATGGCCTTGAACACATGGCCCAGGCTGACCCTGAACTTGTGATCCTCCTGCCTCAACCTCCTGAGTATTACAGGTATTGTACCATCTCCCACCTAAATGTGTTTTTGTTTTTTTCTTTTCTTTGAGACAGTCTCACAATGTAGCCCTGGCTGTCATGGAACTGGCTATGCAGACCAGGCTGGCCATGAACTCACAGAGATCTGCCTGCTCATGTCTCCCATGTGTTGGGATTAAAGGTGTAAAACATCAGACACAATATCTAAATGTATTGCAATATATCTAAATACAAGTTTTTCTTTCTCTGAATATTTTCTACTATTTTCTTAAAATTTACACTTATATATTAACTGGGTATGCATACCACAGCATGTGCATGGAGGTCACAGGACAATTTGCTGGAGTTAGTTCTCTCCTTCCACAATGTGGGTTCTAGGGATTGAACTCGAGTCATCAGGCTTTGTAACAAGTGCCCTTGGCAGCTGAGCCATCTTGGTGGCCCCTAACCACTTCTTCTTTCTCGACAGAACTAATACAAGGACTCCTGCCTGCCTACCAACTAGTCCGGAAATGAAAAGCATCATTTTGCCAGGTGCGGTAGCAAAGACTCGTCCCAGCCATGAACTAAGGCAGGAAGATTAAGAATTTAAGAATAGCCAGTTGTCTTTTGAGATCCCTGTCTCCAAAGAGAAGCGGGGTGGGTGGCAGACATGGGATACAGAACAGTAATGGGGGCTTTTCTACTCACAAAGGCCCTAAGTTTCATGCCCGACACCACCAAACAAAAAAGGAAAGATGCAATAAATGGAAAGTATAATGTCATGCCTGTCAGAATATCATTTTGTCAGCTCATAACTAATATATTAGCCCTCACTGTTATCAGTCTAACAAAGACCATATTTCTCTTGGGACATCAGTTCAACTCCCTGAGCCACTCCAACCCCTCTTACAGTCAGCCCATCAATATCTCACAGCAGAAACCTGACTCTAACATTATCTAGCCATCAGATAAAGGATCAGTTCAAGTAGAGTACTGCTAATTATCTGACTCTTCCAGTTAAAAAGCCAAGAGGGCAAGACCATACAATATTTAGAAGACACATTATCCTTCTTGAGCACAGCCATGCTTTACTCTGAAACCAAATATAAATTTTTTAGAGGCACAGTACCATTAAATGAAGTAAACCAAGATTTCCTCCCTATTCTTAGGGGCATTTTTTTTTTTTTTTTTTCTCCCTACTCTCTGTCTTTTGCAGAACTAGGGATGAAAGCTAGGCCCTTGTGCAAGTCAACTAAGAACGCTATACTTAAATAAACTACATCTCGTAGCCCCATTTTTTCTTACCTAGAAGGGAACTTATGTAGGCCCTATAGCTCCAGACTCACAGTCCCCGGTGAGCACTGTACTTAACTGCCAAGTCTTGCTTGCTGCCCAGGGCTTTCTGGGCACTGTGGCACACAACTTTAATCCCAGCACTCAGAAGGCAGAGACACAGGCAGACCTCTGGAGTTCAATGCCAACCTGGTCTACATAGTAGGTTCCAGGACAGCCAGGGCTACAGAGAGACCTTGCCTCAAAAAAAAAAGGGAGGGGGGAATGAACTCTTAATAAGTTGCTGATCTGTACTTTGAAAAACAAGATACTCTAACAATAAGAATCAATTTAAGAAACAAAGCCAGAACCAAAAGTGTCTAACTAAACAGATGAGCATTGTAGCACTCAGAAAGAAACCTTTGGAGCTCATGTTTACTGAAATGGAACTTTCATAAGGGGAAAGTTAACAAGCTAACAGAATTTATTATAAAATGTCTCCCCCTGTTACTACTTGGTATTTGTGTGGTGCTTGGGATGGACTCCTTATACTTGCCAAGAAGGTATTCTGCTAGTGAGCTACAAATGTCCCATTAAGTTAACAGTCCAAGCAAGCTAACAGAGGACTTAAGAGCCTCTGGTCCACATTGAGAGGACACCCCCCCCCAACCTTAGACATCACTGCAGCACATCTGTCCACTCAGGACATCCCCCTCCCATCTCAGACATCATTGGAGCACATTGTATCAGACAACATTCCCACCAAATACTAATAAACCAGTAAATAACCTCAGGTCAGTTAACGATCTGCACAGAGAGCAAAGAGGCTCATGATACCCACTCCTAACTGAGGAGCTATGGACAGCTAAGAGGATCAGTTTTCTTTAAGGGTGCAGGACTTTGTAGGTCAATCACACTTCAGTGGATGGTCCACACCCCACCCAGGAGTACATGCAAAGCACAAATTGGATTTGATGGGTTATTATTTAAAAAATAAAAAACCTGAAGTTGGAGATGGGATTGGGGGGGGGGGGTGGATGGATCTGAGAGATGTTAGAGAGAAAGGGGGATTCCCAGCAACCACAACCATCTATAATGAGATCTGATGCCCTCTTCTGTCATTCAGGTAAACATGCAGAGAAAACACTGTATACGTAATAAGTAAATAAATCTTTAACAACAACAACAACAACAAAAAGTTCAGAAAATCTGTTACCCTAGATAATAGGAACATATGAAAACCCAGGAGAGGAATATAAGGAAAGTCGAAATTGATATAGATGAGTGGTACCGAACCTGCTGAGCACAGATAGGTAGCACAGGTGGTCTGACTTCAGCCCTAGCAACTCTCATCCCCTAGAGCATTAACTGTTCTTTATTAGGGGCTACAGACACATGCACATGAGTGCTCACTTTACTATTCTCCTCCCCTCCCCCAAGACAAGGTTTCTCTGTAGCTTTGGAGTCCATCCTGGAACTCACAGAGATCCGCCTGCCTCTGCCTCCTGAGTGCTGGGATTAAAGGTGTGAGCCACCAACCGGGCACTTTACTATTCTTCACCTCTTAGTTATTCTGATTTTTTTTTTTTTTGTTGTTGTTAGCATAAAATGCTTCACGACTAACAACTATTTAAAAGTACCACATATCAATCCATTTAAGTAAATTCTAGTAACTTAAAATTGTATAAACAGCCTTTCTGTTTGTCATCCACTAACATAAACCTACACTGTTAAAACCATGAAAGGCTTCGGCTCAGCACTAGATTACCTGACTACTGTGGTGACAACTTGCTTGTACAAACAAAGGTGCCAAAATATAAATAGAGTTCTTAGTTGGTCAAAATAATAAAAATCCAGAGTCAGACACAAGAAAATGCTGAGATCAGAGAGAAGGAGCAAGCCAAAGCCATGTTTAGCCTCATTAGCTTCCCAGCAGTTAGGAGCGCCAGCCAGTTCCTGTTTTCCCGCTTACAACCTCTCTCTGCCCAGCCATCTCACTTCCTGTCTGTCTATACAGACCTCCTGACCTCTATGGTTAGCTAGTGGCAAGCTCCATCCCCTGATTTTCAGACAAGCTTTATTTGTACAAGTAAGATGTCACCACAGACTACCATAAACAATACCATGAAACCCAGAAAATAAAAAAATATCTAAAACTTTTAAAAACAGGCTTAATTATTCTAAAGGAAAACAATTTTAAGGAGTTCATACCCAGCCACCTTGTTGAATGATGAACTCTGCTGCATGGTCCTCCAGATACGTCACACCAAACTGCAGCAGGGTACTGAGGGGCGCTTGACCACGCCGTGTCAACTCCAAAAGCATTTGTTGCAGCAAAATGAGAGGCACCAAAATCTTCAATGCAAAAATGAAAAAAAAAAAAAAAAAAAAACCATAAAACTTGAAATTCTAATACAGACTTTATGTTCAACCATTGAAATTTTTAGCCAGGCAGTGGTGGTGCACACCTTTAGTCCCAGCACTCAGGAGGCGGAGGAAGGCAGCTCTCAGTGAGTTAAAGGCCAGCCTGGTCTACAGACAGTAAGTTACAGGACAGCCAGGACTGTTACATAGATAAACGCTGTCTCAAACACACACACACACACACACACACACACACACACACACACACACACCACACGAAACACAAAAAAAGAAAACAAATTCTTATGCAGACACATGATTGTGGTTATCTCATTCTTACTATGATAAAACAGCAACTCCTGCTAGAAATTTTCAGGCCACTGCATGTGAATTCCATATAAGAGGGGTAAGAAAAAGTTATGTGAAAATAACTATGTGTGAAACATGCATACATAAATTCACACAATAATGAATTATAATGAAAAAATACTACAAACAATTCAACAAAGAATAATCTAAAAACTACAGCCACTCTAGCTATTAAAAGAACTAGACTGTTCATATACCAATTACCAAAATGTAAGTCAGCACACACATACATATGCACACATATACCTATAACTTACATAAAAAAAATACAACAAACTAGTAATAGCAGTCACTTAAGGGATCTTGGTGACTAAGGGCAGGGTGAGGAAAAAGTATTATCTTGGATTCTAGTATTTTGTTTTTTCTGTTTTGTTTTTGCTTTTTGGGTTTTCAAGACAGGGTTTCTCTGTGTAGCTCTGGCTGTCCTGTAAACTTGCTCTACAGACCAGGCTGTCCTTGAACTCACAGAGATCCATCTGCACCTGCCTCCTGTGGGCTGAGATTAAAAGTGTGCACCACCAGGCTTATTTCTGTACTTTTCACATTTTTCTCCAAATGCTTTTATTATCTATTTGAAAACAATTTTCATTATTGCTCTTTTTGAGACAGGGTCTTATGTTGTCACCCAGGCTGGCTTTACATCTTGGGAATCCTCTTGCCTCAATCCCCCAAGTGTTGAGATTATGGGTGTGAGTAGTTATACCTGGTAAAATAATAGCTTAAAAATTATGAACTACCTTACGAAAGTCATCAAAAATCAAATACAAAAAGAGGCATTATAAACTATATCTAATAATCCTGTGGCTCAATATTTAAAATAGTCATAATTTTTACAACGGAAACTACAGTCTATTGCCTTCCTTTAAAAAACAAACAAAAAATACATACAGAAAGAAACAAAAAAACAAAAACAAAACCTAAAGGACGGAGGACACCTTGGTAGCAGAGTACCAGAGGTGCTGGTTTCTCTCCCTAACATCTTAAAAAACTAGAGATGGGGAGGAGAGGGAAAAGAGAAAGAAGGAAAATTAATTAATGTCAGGTAGCCATCTGCATGCAGGTTCTTCTGTCTAAAACATCAAAGTCTCTCCATGACCTAAGGAAAAATGCAAGAGGAAATAAACTACTTTCAGTTCCTTATTTCTGAATTACTAAGGAAATAATGGAATGACAAAGTATTTCCTCAGAAGAAAACAAACTTTAAAAATGAATTCATGTTCTTTGCTTTTACTTTGGTAAATGCAGCCTAGAGGGAATCCACTTTGAAGTCTGAATGGAAGAACACAACACACATGTTCATTTTTCAACAAAAGAACTCCAGCTCAAAATATACTAAAACCCTTTCCTACCACTAATGGATACAGGGCTCTGAAGAAGAGTAAGACGGGCCTTTTCCATAAGAAAATGCATCAAGCTGTTTACAACAGAAACAAAATGATTTTTTATCTTGTCCTAACACTGTGCCTTGGGCAGGAACAGGTAAAAGATGGCTTGAGAACCCATCTTACAAATTCGTACCATAGCGACTTCAAAGGTCTGGGATGTCCTGTACTACAAAACACTCTAATTTCCTATAATAATTCATAACTGTGTAACATTTCTCTTGTTATTGTTTCTGGGTTTTTTGTTTTTTTTTTTTTGTTTTTTTTTTTTTTAAGATAGGGCTTCTCTGTGTAGCTTTGGAGCCTGTCCTGGAACTTGCTCTGTACACCAGGCTGGCCTCTGCCTCCAGAGTGCTAGGAATAAAGGTGTGCACCACCACCACCTGGCCAAATGTGTAACATTTTGAGGCTAGGGGAAATGAATTGCAAACATCTTATTTTATGAGCCACTACATAAAATAGACATTTTCTTTCATTTGTTATAAAATACCTCTTCCATATGTATCAAAAAGTAGGTATCTCACTTTATATGTAACAAATGAGTTCTAAATATGAGGAGCTTTCCCCCTGTCACTTTTAGCTTTGGTTACAGTCCTTCTATGCACTACAGATGTGTCAGTCTGTCATTTATTTACCCTGTCTGTTCTTCACCTTGTACTGTTCCAGTGCTTTCACAACCGGAGTTTTTCTTTCCATTCTAATTAATCTTGAATGGCAGTAACCAGAATCTAAACCCTTCATTCATGGGACTAGCATTTGCTCTTTATCTGATAATATTCTTATTGACACGTCTTAGCAGATATGATTCATTTCCTCCCCTTTCATTCCTCACACTATTTTGATTTTTTAAAAATAACACGATGTTTATTGGGGAGGGAGTAGTCTGAGAGTGCCCTATGGGATGTGTGTGAGGGTCAGAGAGCAACACTGGGGAGTCCATGCTCTCCTTCTACCACGTGGGTCCCAGGGGTCAAACTCAGGTCATCAGGCATGGTGGCAAGCACCTTTACCTACTAAGTCATTCTGCCAGCCCCGTTTTGTTTTGCTTAACAGAGGGTCTCTTGTAGCCGAGGCTGGCCTTGAACTACTGCTCCTCCTCCTTCAACCTCAAGTAGGATTGCATATGCACTACCACACCCGGCTCACAGTAATTATCAAATGACTACCATACCAGGCTTACTTATATGACAGACCTTTCCGAATGGACCATCAGGCCCACTCACTTCTATTTGTATTTTATTGATATGTTTTTTGTTTGTTTGTTTTGTTTGAGATAAGGTCTCATGTAGCCCAGACTGGACTGGAGATCAGTTTACATAGCCCAGGATGGTCCTGAACTCCTGATTCCTTGCCTCTGTCTCCCAACTGCTAGCATCACAGACACATCACAGTGTCCAGTTTAGGAGCACCAGGGTAGATTATCTTTACATACTTCAACTTACCTTCCTATATAAGAAGCATCAAGAGTTTCTCTAAGTAGGACTAAGGATGTAGCTCAGTTGGTACAATACTTGCTTAGCAACCATGAAGTAACACATAAAACTAGGTGGCGGTGGTTCAAACTTGTAAACCGTAAGATTACATGTTAATAATGGGAAGCTACAAGTTCCAGCTCATCCCTGGCCACATAGTTTAGCTTGAGCTAAAAATGAAACACAGTTTCAAAAAACAAAAACAAGGAAAGTTAAGTTACTTCTACAACTCATTTATACCAACTCTATTATCCACAAGTATTCCATATAATCTAAAACCCAATTATTATTTTCAGTGCTCTGCATTTTTGTATTTTTTTAATGTTAAAAGAATTCAGAGCCTAGCCATTCCAAGGTCTCACATTCATATTTCCAGGTTTAAAAATTAAGGGAGGATGAGGAGTACAGTCTAGTTGGTAGACTCTCTAGTATGAGTGAAGTCCTGGATTTGACCCTGAGCACTATACACATCAGCCATGTGGTACATGACTGTAATCCTAACACTGAGAAGGTAGAGTCAGCAAGATCAGTAGTTCAAGATCATCCTCAGCTACACAGTGAGTTCCAAGACAGCCTAAAGAACATGAAGCCCTATCTCAAAAAAAAAATAAATAAATAAAATTATATAATAAAGATGAAGCAAATAAGGCCAGGTGGTGGTGGCACAGGACTTTAGTCCCAGCCCTTGGGAGGCAGAGGCAGGTGGAGCTCTGTGAGTTCGAGGCCAGTCTGGTCTACAGAGCAAGTTCCAGGACAGGCCCCAAAACTACAGAGGAACCCCTGTCTCAGAAAACCAAATAAACAAACAAACAAACAAATAAATAAATGAATGAAGCAAACAGTCTTGTCTTTTTATTCTTATGCTAAGTAATTTCCTCACAAAACAACAATATTCTGCACATTTTTTTTCCTTAGAATTTTTTTCCTTAGAAATTTTTGTAATGGAATGTTTTGGAACTGCTCAGCATCAGAAATGATAGCTTCTACTGGTTTACCTTTATTCATGTATTTACTTAACTCCCTGAGAAAGAATGGGGGGGAGGGGGAGGAAGACATAAAAAAGTGTAGTTAAAAAAGTATAAACAAATATAAAGTTATACCAAAGTGTGTGTGGAAAAGAGGTCTTTTTTTTTTTTTTTTTAAGATTTTACTTATTTATAAGTGCTCTGTATGTATACCTGTATGCCAGCAGAGGATATTAGATCCCATTATAAATGGCTGTGAGCCACCATGTGAGTGCTGGGACTTGAACTTAGGTCCTCTGGAAGAACAGCCAGTGCTTTTAACCACTTAGCCTTCTCTGGAGCCGCAAGGTTGTAATTCATAATGACAAACTTCCTGCTCTCCCCTGGATGACAGCAGACGTATCCTGAGGGCAAGCAAGACCCCTTCAATTCAAAGCACCAATTAGTGAAAAGGCTTATCTGAGAGCAGACAGCTTGAACTAAGAATACAGTTTAAGGGGTTCCCTGCTCAAAAACAATGACGCTGGCACACACAAACTATTGGAGCTGTGACCCAAGGGGCCAGGCTCCATCTGGAGCTGGCAGCAGAACTTGGTGGCATCATCCACATGATACTGGTTTTTCATGCAAGAAAGATGCAAGACCGAGAGATTCATGGAATCTTGTCCATGGTTTTAGAGTGTTGCTGAAGCCAGACAACTGCAGCAGGCAGGGTCAGAGTCCCTGTAAGGAGGTTCTGAGGGGCTACTGTGTGAAGATGTAAAAATGAAGCCGGAGTTGCAATGGAACCCTTGAGAAGCTGGAGGCCATTAAACAGCCACCAAGGAAAGACGCAGGCCTGAGCGCAGCTGCCCACAGGACAGACTATGTGTGCTGAAGACAGTAGGGCTGCCCATGCTACACTTCTTCACAGTCATCTCTTACATTCTGCCTTTGCAAGGCAGCAGGCAGGCAACACAGTATCAGACAATGGATAATCACATGACATAGTGGAAAGGCTAGAACTAGCAAATCTGAACTGGTTGCTAGTCAAGAGATACTACACAAGTTATTTAACCCTTTCCTGAATAGTCATCAATCTACGAACAGAACAAAAGCTCATTATGCTAGGAATGTAACTCACCAGTAGAGTGCTTGCCTGGCCTGTGCAGAATCCAGGGTTCCATACTAAATCAGCAGGACATCCCACCCCTTTCCCAGCCCCAAGATAGGGCAACAAAATCTACTGCCCATTCTTCAAAGAGTTTGAAATGGTCAGATGAGATTAGACATGAAATACACTACTATATAAACTGTAAAAACATAAATGGCAGTAATCTTTAAAAGATTATCTATTAACGGAACAACTCATTCTTCTCCAAGACACGTTAACTGACATGTTAACAAGTAACTAACTATCTGGAGACAAATGTCATGTTTAACACAGAGAAATCAACAAATGACAGGAAACTCAAGGAGCACAGAGAAAAAGGATAACATACAGGGCACATTGAGGTACATTGTAGAACCTTGCAGCATTAATTAAAACAAAACAAAAAACAAAACAAAACATTAAAGCAGAAATATCCACTTCACCTAGTTTGGAATTACACATTAATTAATGCTAACAGTTCTATACTGTGTGATACTAACAATTCTTTCTATACTTAATGTAAGAGCAAAGATAATATGGTTAATACCTTATTCCATCCGCTGGCATGAACTGCAGCCTCTACTGTACATTCACGATATGCCTGATATGTCACTGGCCTGTAGAGATTTTTTAAAAAGTCTGTGTCACAAAAAAGAGCTTAAATTTCAGATGCATAAACATACAGAAACTACTATGTTGCTAAACTTTTTACTAACATGACTACAATTATTAAACAAATTGTTTAAGATACAGCTTTTAATATTTGGCATGTGTTTTTTCACAAAACATTCTCTACATTGCTGGGGAGGCTGTTACAGTATATCAAGATATATTCTACTCACTGCTTTTAATTATTTGGGATTTATTTCTATGTTGTAGCTAAATGTCTGACTTATAGAATCAGAATACAGATACAGATATAGAATCGAATAGTAACATGTAAAACTTAATTCAAGTTAAATGAAAACACAATATAGCTTTTTTTAAAAGGCAAAAATCTAGGGCAGTGGTGGCAACACCTTTAATCCCAGCACTCAGGAGGCAGAGGCAGGCAGATATCTACAAATTCAAGGTCAGCCTGGTTTATAGAGCCAGTTCCAGGATAGCCACCAAAGCTACAGAGAAACCCTGTCTCCAAAAACAAAAACAAAAACTCCAATTTCAGAAGCATTTTCTGTTCTGACTACTCTAATCTGTATTTCTTAGCTGATGAATATATAAGAACAATAAAAATTAACAGTTATTAGTTTATATTTTTTATATTTTACATTGCATCATATATTATCACTACACACTAGGAAGGCAAAGTTAGAAAAGGCTGAGACTACATATCCCAAAACCATGCCTGGCAAACACCCAATTGGATTTGGCTCCAACAGCACACTATTTCCATTTCAAGTTAGGATTCTGGTTTTGTTTTGTTTTGTTTTGAAGACAGGGTTTCTCTGTGTAGCCTTGGCTGTCCTGGAGCCAGGCTGGCCTCAAACTCAGAGATCCATCTGCCTCTGCCTCCCAAGTGCTGCAATTAAAGGCTACCACTCAAAGGCTCAAATTAGGTTTTGACGAATGTCACAAAAATATCTAGATGTCACATGTAGCTAAAAAGAATTTGAAATGTTAACACACACTGTATTTCAAAGAGTCAGTAAGGAAAAGAAGACGTGAAATATCTCACTAATAATTTTTTAGTTTTTAGAATATTTTCACTATACTGATTTAAGTTAAAATTTTCATTAGTGTCATGTTTTATGTGTTTGTCAGATGTTTTTAGCTTTACTATAGCTAGTGAAGAGCACTAGACTAAAGACGTCAGGAAACAGCTCTGATCACACAGCTATCATTCTGCTATATAATTTAGCATCAACTCACTACTACAGTGCTGCCAAAGGGGTGACCTTTATAAGCATGACATATACACAAGACTGCTTGCTGACATCACATTCTTACCAGTGCAAACTAGAATCCTGTAAAACTGGAATTTCACCAGGTACTGTACCATCCACCTACCTATAGCTCCCTGAAGCTTCACTTTCGGCTATCAGTCCCTTCACTTCCTTTCCTGAACTGATGCTGGTGGGTCACTGAAGTCCTTATAGGTAGTTTGGCTATCAGGCTAAGGACTTTATCATCCTTCAGAATGAAACATGATTTAAAACATTATATGTACACACATACATGAACATGAAAGATGTAGCAGGTTAAAGCAGTCATGTTTTATACACTGAAAAGCAGGTAGCTGAACAATCAGCCTTCCTTCTGCATGGTCTTGGAATAAAGCAAAGCAGAGAGGGGTACCTTTAAAAATCAAGGGTATTTCATACAAAGAGTTCAAGATTAATTTCTCACGTTAGCAAAACCATTTGGAATAGGAGATATTTCTACCTTAAGATATTGTCTTCAATCTGTACAATAATTGCATTGTTTCCAATGTATTAGTAACAGCTTACAACTTTCCAAAGTAAGACTTTTGAACAAATTCTATTTGTTATACAACCAACTTCGAAAATAATTGTATCGCGATTTAAGGTTTGGTGAAAAGTAAATATTCATCTAAACCAGATTTCTCTTAAAGAAAAAAGAAACTCGGGGCATGTCAGCACAAACATTTAACCCTACCTATCACTTGGAAGGCAGAGGCAAGGTGAATTTCTGTGAGTCCCCAGGTCATCTAAGACTCCATAGTAAAAGACTCTGTCTCAAAAAGCAAAATTATACCATTCTGTTCGTTAGAGAATTGGTAATATCCTAGCCAAGTTACAAGTAATAAATGAAAAACCTGACATTTGAAGAATGAAATGTTGCATGAAGGAGTTGGACAAATGACTCAGCAGTTACGATCAGGAGCACTTCCTGGTCTGTTCAGTTCCAAGCACCCACGATGGGGCCTCTAATTCCTCCTGGTTGAGGGGACTCGACTCCTTTCTCTGGCCTCTTGGGCATCAACATACATATAAATAAAATAAAATAAAAACCAATTTTGAAGGCCAGATATCATGGTGGTGCATGCCTTTAATTAGCGCTTGAAAGGCAAAGGCAGATGGATGTGAATTCAGGCCATGCCTGGGCCACAGTGAGCCCCTGTCTCAAAAAAAGACAAAGAAAATGGAATTTTTTAAGGTTGTAATCTCAATATATACAATATATGAACACTTAAGGACAGAGAGTCTTAATGAACTCTGCTCAATCCACCCTTCACCTCCTTGGGCCCTCAGCACTCAGAGCAGCAGCTCTTTGGACACTCTTAGAAAGCCATGCTGTGAACCCACATTTCCTGCTTAGGTTTACTTCCTGGCCACTTATACTGTCCTTTCCACATTTCTTTAAGCTTGTGCCTGAGGTAGAAAATCCAACTATGGTTTCATTTCACCGAGTATAATTAAGGGTTTTATATATGCTTCTTTCACCAGAATACAGAAAAACCTCAATTGCTTCCTGATAAAAACACAGCAAACTCTAAACCCTGACTACATAACAGTAAGGAATTTCCTTACTGAAACAGCAATTTGCCATTTGAATTTTAACCCTTTGGTGAGGGACACATTTCCTCCTAAGTGATCCATCTTCATCAATTCTTCATACTAATGCTGTAATTTATAATAATCCTCAATGATTCTCTTCATAAGTGAATTGCTTCTATTTTGGCATGCTTGCATTTTCACTAGCCTCTCAGTTTTAGCTTTCCTATGGTGAGGGCCAAAGATGGAAAGGAGTTCATTACAGGAATACAGAAGTAGCTTCACAGACAGATGTGCAACCCCAAAAGGTAATAGCATCTGTAATATAGATATAATACTAAATGCAGACATCTAAAATACAAAACTAACGCTAATCACACATTACCCCCAGGCACTATAGCTATGTATACATGGTCACTAAATAGAACAGAGACAAGGAGTGATTAGGACAAGGGCAGTAACTTGTGTCTATAACACAGCAAATGCATCTGTTGAAACCTGACCGCTCAACACATAAATAAAAACCATCAGATCTCGGTTGGGATAGTTAAACCCCTGCTTTGAGGCAGATCTGGCAGCCTCAGCCAAGCAGCACCACATACTACCCAGACCCTGCTCAGAGAAAAGAAGCACACTCTACTTGGCAGCGGCAACTCACTGGCTGAGAATCACTTGCAATGCTTTATGCAAAGGCTCTTTCAGATCCTGGGACACTCTTTCTCCAAGATGGGCCAGGCAGTCTTCTATTGAGCTTTCCGGGTTAGCAGGGCTAAACACTGGTGACGTGTGACAGTCAAAGCCTGTGCTGGTGAAGGCTGAAGACAAGATAAAAGAAAGACCAATATTCATACACGGTGTTGGACCCGGAGAGATTGCCAGTAGTTAACCAGGGTTGATTCCTAGCACCCAGCCTCAGGGGATCCAAAGCCCTCTTCTGGGACTCCGTGGGCATTGTATGCACATGGTACAAAGACATATATTCAGACAAAACACCCATACATATAAAAGATAAATAAATAAAAATTAAAAGAACAACAACAAAAAAATAGCACCAATAGTTGTGCTGTAAGCCAGGTGTAATAGTGCACATCTATAATCCTGACACTCAAGGTTCTCAGGCAGGAGGATCTCAAGCAAGAAGCCTGCCTGGGCAATTCAATGAGTTCAAGATCAGTTGGGCTAGCCAGCCAGAGTTACATGGTGAAACCCTATCTCAAAAATGAAAACAGTAACAAAAAAAAAAAAAAAAAAGAAAGAGAGAGAGAGAGAGAAAACCAAGTAAACCCACAGTAACCACAGTTGACAGAATCTGCTTGTTGCTCAGAAAAGCAAGAGGGAACAGACCTTCAGAGACTTCTTTGTCCAAGGATTTCAGTTCTTCTTCAATCTCAGATTTAACTTTTAATAAAACTTCTGGGTCCAAAGACCGTGGAGCAACATCTAGTTGAACTCCTGAAACAAATAAGAGAGGTTACTATAAAAAGAGGGACAGATAAGCCATTAGAAGGCAGCCAGTGGTGGTAACCACATGTGGAGGCTGTGGCAGGAGGCTCACTTTAGATCAAGAGTACAGAGCCAGCCTGGGCCACATAGGGGTACCCTATCACAAAAGAACAACTAAAAACCAAAAACCAGAAAATAAGTAATAAGTCAGAAAATAAGAAATCAAATTTTATTATCAAGGCTAGAAGGGTTTTTTTTTTTTTTTTCAACAATCAATAGCAAAGCTGAGGTGTAGATCAGTAAAGAGCACCTGCTCAATCGAAGACACCCTGACTTTGATCCCAGAACTGACAGGAAAAGAAAAAGCAAGAAAGAAACAACAATTAGAAGCACTGAGAGTAAATTCTAACACAGAAGAGAAACCTCTCAGGGAGACAACAGAATCAACATTCATAGGTTCCCTCTTCCTGCATGCAATAGCCTTCAAAACAGAAGCATGTGAGCCAGGCTTTACGATCCTGAGATACTCTTAGCTCTAAGAAAAGTTGGACACATTGGTTTATGCCCATAATTCCAGCATTTGGGAGGCAAAGGCTGCCAAGTTGTTGCCAGCCTGGTCTGATAGCAAACTCTAGACCAGTCAAGACTACATATGTAGACAGGCAGTGGTGGTGCATACCTTTTTAATCCCAGCACTAGGACACAGAAACAGGCGGATCTGTGTGAGTTCAAGGCCAGCCTGGTCTACAGAGTAAGCTCAGCCAGGGCTAAACAGAGAAACCCTGTTTGGGGGTGGGGTTGGTGGAAGAGGGAGGAAACAATATATGTAGTAAGAGTCTGTCTCAGAAGTAAATAAAAGAAGTAAACAAAAACTTTTGAAGAACTGTGCTCAGCCCAGATGAAAGCCTTAAGAGCTTCCAGCGACAGATAATAAGTATCTATGTTCTTGGCTTTGAATCAAATTCACCAAGCAAAATGCAAGTGTGACCATCTAGGATCTTATAGATAACACAGCTTTGATGTTATTCTTACTGTGGAAATCTATAGTGCTCCTACTTCTCATTTTATTCCTTGGATTTTTTCAATGGTGTGTGTGTGTGTGTGTGTGTGTGTGTGTGTGTGTGTGTGTGTGTGTAGGGGTGGATACAGCGTAAATGCAATCATACATGTAAGTGGAAGACAAAGGCCAACATCAGGTTCCTTTCTAGATTGCTTTCTAGCTTATTTTGTTTGTTTTTATGTGTATGAGTATTTTACCTGAATGAATTTCTGGACACCACATGCATGCCTGGTGCTCATGGATGCCAGAAGACACTGTGTTCCCTAGAACCCGAGTTACAAATGGTTGTGAGCTGCCACATGGGTGCTGGAACTTGAACCCAGGTCCTTTGGAAGAGCAACCAGGTGCTCTTAGCTGCTGAGTCAACTCCAACTTTATTTTTTGAAACAGGGTCTTTGCTGATCCTAGAGCACACTACTAGCCAATGAGTTCTAGGGATTCATCTGTCTCTGCCTCCCCTATATTGGGGTTACAGGCCAATGCCACTGCATCTGGCTTTTACCATGTGGGTGCTAGGGATCCAAGCTCAAGTTGTCATGTTTGCATGGTAGGCACCTTACTAACTGAGCTATCTCCTCACTGCCATTACACACTTTTTTGAGAGGAAAGGCATTGAAACAAGGTCTTACTAAAGAGCCCTGGCTGGCATCCAACTCATTCCCCTTCTGTACCACAGCCCAGCTGCTGAGGCTTCAAGTAGGAGCCATGATACATGGCTCTATTTGGGCATACTTTTAAGCCACACTGAATTATGTATAATGAAGAATGTTTTTTTTTTAAAAAGCACCCCAGGCCAGGTTGTAGTAATGCATGTGGGCACATGCCTTTAATCCCAGCACTCAGGAGGCAGAGGCAGATGAATCTCTGTAAATTTATGGCCAGCCTGGTCTACAGAGTAAGTTCTAGGATAGCCAGAGCAACACAGAGAAACTGTTTCTCAAAAATGCAAAGGGGAAAAAGGAATCAATCTATTATGAATTCACTGCTAGTTTCTAATGGGAGATGTCATTCTGTAAATATGTTTCTCATAGTGGTTAATGAATAAAGCACTGTTGGCCAATAGGAAAGCAAGATAGGCGGGACTAGGAGACAAGGAGGATTTGAGGAAGTAGCGAGGAGGAGTCAGCATGGGGAGACCGGAGAGAACAGAGGTCCTGTCCCGCTCTCCGGTAAGATGAGACCACATGTAAATACTTAGATTAATAGAAATGGGTTAATACTTAAGACAGAGCTAGCCGATAAGAAACAAGTAACTGGCCAACAGCATTTATATCTAATACAGAGTCTCTGTGTGTTAATTGGGGCTGCCGCCGCAGTGGGTCCAAGCTGGTAGGAAAACTTACTCCTTACAGGTTTCTTCACTATTCAGTAAATAAAATATACTATGCTTCATTTTTGCCTTATTGCCCTTCTTTTTCCTGATTATTTCTCCAAGAACCAATTTAAGTCTGTTTCTCTGTCATATCTTCAGTCTTTAGTAATTCCTTTTTTTTTTTTTTTTTTGAGACAGGGTCTCAAGTTTCTCAGGTTGGACTTGAGCTCACTATTATAGTCAAGGGTGACCTTGAACTTTTGACTGTGTGTCACCCATATCCAACTTTAGCTGGTGCTAGAGATGGAACCTAGGGTTTTATGCATGCTAGGTACACTATCAACTGTGCTAACTCCTACTCTTCAGTGACTCTTACCTATGCTGGAGGCCAGCAGATGACTTTCAGCATAGTTCTGACCAGACTACCAACACCTTGAGACTCTTCCTTTATCTAAGACTTATGTCAAATAGAACTAAAGGAACACAAATACTTGACAGTGGTGGCTGTTACTATCTACTGTGGTATGGACCTAAAGGACTACAGTGGTTAGAAGAATGTACATAATACAACCTTACTGCATTCCATAGGTAAACAGGTCAAACCACTGGAGAAAAGACCCATACAAAAAGAAACTCGACTGAATTTCTGTAATTTACACAGACCAAAAAAAGAAAAAAAAGAAAAAAAAAAAAAAAAAAAAAAAGAAAGAAAAAAGCTCATATATAAATGTAGAGAAATAAAAAGCTATTTGCTACTACAAATTTTGCTATGGCAAAAGTTAAAAAAGGAAGGAAACTGAGAAGTGGTTTTTCTATAAGAGAATATGAAAACTGACCAACCACATACACAAGGCAATAAATTCAACATATATTTAGGGCAGTGGATGGAGACAAAGAAAAAAGGAAAACAGGAATCAGACCTCAACTACTGCTTGTACACTTAGGAGAACTGTACTCAATAACCCAGGCATAAGATCTTAGCTTCAGATTGACAGTCTGTAATAAACCAGTCCTCATCATTGTTTTCCCATGTGCCGATAATCCATGAAGAGACAATAGTTGAAAACAGATCTGCCTGAAGTGGCAAATGGCTGTAATCTCAGCATTTGGGAGATCGGAGCAGAATTGTTACAGGTTCAAAGATAGGACGGGGATGGGGGGGGGGGAGCATCTGTTAAGTGAATTACTACTGAACCCTAGAATATATGACTGTAATTTTTGATGCACTGTCTCAAATAGGAAATAAGCAATGCCATCTGTCATCAGCCTCTTTCTGGAAGACAAGCATATCCAAAACAGACAGCCTCACACAGCCCCTAGCACCATCACCAACCCACACAGTAAATGACAATGTCTTGGTTACCATATGCCTCACACACACCCTACCAGATTAAGGAGAAGTAGTTGATTAGAGAAGTGCTGTTCAATGAAACTGACATGATACTGATTACACATGACAAGTTGTCGTACTTGATAATAAGCCATGTGGAAAGCCTAAACTATAAAAAGGCTATTGCTGTTAGGACACAAAAGGCTATTTAGCTAGCTACCCAAGGACAGACAGATTCAGTGATCTTCATCTAATTAATCCTCTCCACCCAGACTTTCACAATCACAGTAGGGCCAATGCAGCATAAATCCTGTTCAATGAATGCAGAGGAAGTATTTCAAAGATAGACATGAGCACACTAAAGTCCACCCACTTCAATCCAAATGAGGAGTTAAGTGAGTTGGCAATCAGCATATCTCAGCTCTGAAATCTGTCCAGAACTTTCCAATTGAATATGACTAACACATTTTGGCCAGCTGAATGAAATAATCAAAAAGAAGTAAATCCTATGTCTAAAAATCTCCAAATAGGGACATATTAAAATTACCTATAAGGGAGGGGGACTAGAGAAATGGCCTTTTTTGCTATTTTTGCAGAGGACCCAGCATCCACATGGTGGTTTACAGCCATTCATGACTATAGTTTTTTATCTGATACTCTCTTTTGACCTTGCAGGCACCAGGTGTACGTGTAGCACACATACATTTATCAAGTCAAACACTCAAGTGGATAATATAAAATAAATAAATCTAAAAGATAATTTTTAAGCTGGGCATGGTGGTACACACCTTTAATCCCAGCACTCAAGAGGCAGAAGGGAACAGATCTCTATGAATTTGAGGCTAGCCCAGTCTATATAGTAAATTCCAAGATAGCAAAAGCTGCATAGTGAGACTGTCTCTTATCAATCAATTAATTAATTAATTTTGAATTAAGTGGCTGGGCGTGGTGGTACATACACTCCTTTAATCGAAGCATTTGAGAAGCAGAAACAGGTGACTCTCCCGTGAGTTCCAGGCCATGAAAGCACAGTGATGTATTTATTCTTGTTTTATATGCACTGGGGTGTTTTGCTTGCATATATGTGTGTGTAAGGGTGTCAGGTCCCTTAGAACTAAAGTTATAGACAATTATGAGCTGCCTTGTAGATGCTGGGAATTGAACCAGGGTCCTCTGCAAGAGCAGCCAGTGCTTTTAACCACTGAGCCATCTCTCTAGCCTATAGTTATTTTTTAAGACCAAATCTCACTATGTGGAAGCCTGGTTGGCTTCAAACTCATCATCTTTCTGCTTTGGACTCCTAAAAT